TGTACTGGGGTTGGTCAAAGGATTCTGAGCCATAACGAAGAAAAAAAGTAGAGCTAATTGAGGAGGAGAGTTTTCAGGACCTGTGAAGAAGGTTATGGTCACTGTATTCTGGGATGCAAATGGTGGGATCCTTGTTCATTACTTAGAAAGTCCAAAGACGATTACCAGGACCCACTCGCTGATTTACGTCATCGCCTGAGAGAAACTGTCAAAGACAAGTGGCGAAGAATGCTGACTGCTGTAGTTCTACTACTTCATGAAAATGCCTCTTCTCGTGGCTCTAAACCTCCAACGGCTGCTGTGCGACAGTGTGGATTGTCACCTGTTTCCTAAACTGAAAGAACACCTTCGTGGAAGCAGCAAAAAACACTTTCACAAATGTCAGTTTTGTTTGTTAAGCTTAGAACCTTTTTTACCAACCCTCGAGGGTATATGTAAAGATTTGTTAAGTGCGCACATCAACCTCTTCCAATGTAAACCCTGCTATTTAAATGTTATGTATAAAAATTGATAAATAAATAACGTATTAACTAATATGAAACAGGTAGCTGAATGTCCGTACTATTTCTAAACCTGAAAAACGAATGAATTAATGTATAGCATTGTTTCAAAACACAGCAGCTGTATTACTTTAGACAAAGTTTCGACTCTGAGGCTTACATAACTTCAGAGGATAATATTTTTGTTTTAGATGCTTAGGATACATGCCTATGTTCAGCGTCTTTCGTTTCACAATTACAGAGCCAAAAATGCAGTTTGAGAGAATTCAAGAGCATTTACGTACATGATGAGCAAACATGACAAACAGACATACATAGCCTTGTTCAATGTGACCTGTGTGTGTTGTCATGCATCTCAACTTTGTGATCAATTGTCTGATCCAGTGAAGTGATGGAGAACGCCTGAGTTACTTTCCCCATATATAAGACACATATTGAAGGGTTGATAAGTGGTAAGCTTTATTATTCACTTTGCAAACAAAAGGTTCCTTGTAATGAAGGGGTGAACGGATGTAAGCACCAGAGTTGAAGACATTTGAAGACATCAATATATTGTATACCCGTAACGAATTTCCACACCACCATCTCCTACAATTCAAAAATAATATTTTAAGGGGTCCAGTCAGTGAAGCGTTACAATCAATGGATTGTTTCTATACCAGTGATGCGAAAGGATCATTCACGTGCTTTGACAAGAGTGGGGCCAGCGTTGTCGACTACTTTGCTCTTCAACTGATTAATTTTATTCATTATCAGACTTTACTGTTTGGACATGTCTGAATTAGACCATTTCCCAGTTACTTGTAGTCTTAAGTGTCATTTCCCAGTTACTTGTAGTCTTAAGTGTCATTTCCCAGTTACTTGTAGTCTTAAGTGTCATTTCCCAGTTACTTGTAGTCTTAAGTGTCATTTCCCAGTTACTTGTAGTCTTAAGTGTCATTTCCCAGTTACTTGTAGTCCTAAGTGTCATTTCCCAGTTACTTGTAGTCTTAAGTGTCATTTCCCAGTTACTTGTAGTCTTAAATGTCATTTCCCAGTTACTTGTAGTCTTAAGTGTCATTTCCCAGTTACTTGTAGTCTTAAGTGTCATTTCCCAGTTACTTGTAGTCTTAAGTGTCATTTCCCAGTTACTTGTAGTCTTAAGTGTCATTTCCCAGTTACTTGTAGTCTTAAGTGTCATTTCCCAGTTACTTGTAGTCTTAAGTGTCATTTCCCAGTTACTTGTAGTCTTAAGTGTCATTTCCCAGTTACTTGTAGTCTTAAGTGTTCACCTGATGAAATAAAACCTACAGAACTAACAGGTTTCAATACCGAAATATATATATATGGCATTCTCAGAAAATGAACTGTTTTATGAATCTTTGAAAAACAGATAAATTGAGATGCCAGTTGGAGATATATCTCAGTGTACTACCTCCTCTCAAAAAGCTGAACATTCGACATCTATAATTCAAGAGTGTGCAGAGGACAATGGCATGGCTGTACGCAATAGTTGTAACACTAACATTAGCAGGTGTGCTCCTTCGCCGTGGTTCGATGCAGAATGTGAAAATATGTAAATACAAACTGTTAGACATGTTTAGAATTAGTGTAGATATGTACACTTTAAAGAACTTTCATGTTGTCCGCAATAGATTTTGAGAAATATGCTGGCATAAAAAGGATGCATTTGAAGAATCTGCTTCTGTAAATATTCTAAACTCCTGTAATAATAAGAGAAATTCAAAAACATTTTGGGCCGAACTGAAATTTCACCCACGAAAACCACCCGAAACAGCACTAAGTATTGGTGTTTCTCAGTTGATTGAGTACTTTAATGATAATGTAACAGATGTGGATTTTGTTGCGTTCTGCAAAGCTGTTATTACAAACCATCCTGTTAATAGAATGAATTTGAATGTTGACGGTTTGCTGAATCAAGACATAACGGCCAGACAGGTTTCAGAAGCCATAGATTTCCTACACTGTGGTAAAGCAGCTGGTCCTGGTGATATTTTGCCAAAGATGATCAAGTATGGCAGTGATGTTTTAATTCCACATCTTCTTGTTCTTATTAATATTATGAAGTGGCAGTTTTCCAGCTCAGTATTATCTTCCCTCTCCAAGAGAAAGGTAATGTTCATGTTGTAAACAACTATAGGGGTATTTCCTTGATGGATAATTGTCATAGGATTTTTACACAAGTTTTGAATAATAGATTAACGCATTTTGTTGAGTTATATGATTAGCTCCAGGAATGTCAGGCTGGCTTCCGAAAAGGATATTCCATTGTTGACAACATGTTATTCTTCAGTCATTAGGGCAGAAATATTTGTCTAAGTCAAAAGGAAGATTTGCCTGTATGTTCATAGACTTTCAGAAACTTTCGACTCTATTAATAGGGATCTTCTTTGGTTTGATCTGTATCCAAATGGAATTCATGGGAAAATATTTACTATCATATAGGACATTTATTCTAAAACTCTTGCTTGTGTTAAAATTTCAAAGAGTAGCATCTCAGATTATTTTAACAGTCTCAGTGGTGTACGACAAGGGTGCGTTTGCAGTCCTCTTTTGTTTTCGTTATTCGTACATGAGGATTTACTGGAATTGGTTCTTCTCTTATATGTGGACAGAAGAAGAGTGATGTATTGTATAAATTTGTATCAAATGGGGTTTAAAAGATAACATGTACAAAACCGATATCTTATGATTACGTTTTCGTAAAATGGAAACTGGGGCATATGCCTGTCAAGGTTTCTACATATACCAGTTATTTGGGTATTATATTTTCAAACAGGCTGTGATGACCGAGAACAGATCAGACATTAGTTTTGAAAGCAAGTGAAGCTTTAATTCCTATAAAACAGCTCAGATAAAAACTACGAAATATCGCTCCTAAAGTGTTGTTTAAAATGTTCGACTCTCAGTTAATCTTTTATTTTAGATGGTTCGGTGATTTCGGGTGTTCATAAATGGTGGTTCAAGCGAAGTTTTGTAAATCTGTTTTGGGTATTAGTTCCAAATCTACAAATGGTGTAGTGCTCGGAGGATGTGGTCGATATGGTATTTGTAGTCATTGTTACACAAGATAATGGTTTAGGCTTCTTAATATGACTCAGGAGAGAGTTAGTTAGGTTTGATGCCTTTGGTAGGAAACATTGGTTTCTGCTATTAAGAATATGTTATATTCTCATGGCTTCGGACATGTGTGGGAATTTCAAGGTGCTGGTGATCCTGAATATTTTATAAGTGAGTTTATCCTGAGAGTTAACGACTGTCATGCACAAACCTGGTATTCTGAAGTGTCTGGGTGCTCGACGTTAGAACTGTATTCATTATTTAAGACACCATCATCACTGGGGAGCTGGGAATTATACATAACACAGGAAGGAGAGATGGCATCGACGAGACACTCCGGTTTTGTCCATTGTGCAAGTTAAGGGCAGATGGAAATGAAATTCATTTAATTCTTGTTTGCCCTATTTATGAAGATATTCGTTCCAAATATTTCCCATATTGAGACTTTACTACTGGTAGTTTTCGTAAAGTAATACTAGTTAGAATGTTAAACTCTTCTGATGTAAATTGTCTTGAGAACTTAGCTAAAGATGCTATCTGTCTTCGTTCTCCTTACCTGTAAACATTATTTCGTGCAGCACTTGATGTGAAACTATATTGTCTATATATGTTAATGGGCCTGAGGCCTTATTGCCGAATAAACTGATTTATTGAAGTAAGTGAAACGTTGCAATTAAAGGGTTTACTCGGTTATTACGTTTTTTTCGAATCAAGCGTATACATACTGATATACCATTAGTCTACTTTTTCTTGGATTTAGAGGACGAATTGTACATTTAGTATTAACATACAATGTATTACGTTCCTAATGTCACTTATGAACAGACTATCGAAGTATTCCATCTTGCAATATAATTACTATGACAGTGTTTAATGTCATCGCGGCAACTGAAAAGGCATCTCGTATATCACAGTTGAAGGATTTTTCAATCGTGACAATTACGATTAAACGGAAAATATCCTTCAACGCTTTGGAAATATTTTTTGAACACGTTATGTTAGTGAGTGAGTTTGATTTTACGCCACTTTTAGCAATATTCAAGCAATATCACGGCGGGCAACACCAGAAATGGGCTTCACACGTAGTACCCATGTCGGGAATCGAACCTGGGTCTTCGGCGTAACGAGCGAACGCTTTAACCACTGGGCTAACCGACCGACCCTGTTGTATACTAGATTTCTTCTGACTGATTCTTCTAAAAGACATTGCTCTGTTTATGCAAATTCGTTTAAGAAGACATTTTAATGTACATCAAATTAATATAAATATCCCTTCGCTTTACCAAACGCTGATCTGGATGTTTAATTGTCAACACTTGTTACAACTACGTCGACAGTACATCAGCATATAGCCCGAGTTCCTTGTGCACTCTCCCGAAGTGGCCCAATAGTCACAGTACTGTCCCTGGTCAATACACGGCGGACCTGCAATGTCAAACACTGTGTTAGTCACAGTACTGTCCCTGGTCAATACACGGCGGACCTGCAATGTCAAACACTGTGTTAGTCACAGTACTACCCCTGGTCAATACACGGCGGACCTGCAATGTCAAACACTGTGTTAGTCACAGTACTGTCCCTGGTCAATACACGGCGGACCTGCAATGTCAAACACTGTGTTAGTCACAGTACTGTCCCTGGTCTATACACGGCGGACCTGCAATGTCAAACACTGTGTTAGTCACAGTACTACCCCTGGTCAATACACGTCGGACCTGCAATGTCAAACACTGTGTTAATCACAGTACTGTCCCTGGTCAATACACCGCGGGCCTGCAATGTCAAACACTGTGTTAGTCACAGTACTGTTCCTGGTCAATACACGGCGGGCCTGCAATGTCAAACAATGTGTGACTCACAGTACTACCCCTGGTAAATACAACCTTGGAATGTTTCTACACTGAGATGTAATGTAATTGTTTGTAAACACTTGCTCATGTCAGATTTTTTTTATTTGTCTATTTATCACGTTGGCACACTGTTCTCCTAAGTAATATCCAATGTGCGTGTTTCGTCCAGTGAAGGAACGTGTCACAAGGCACATGTTCATCCGAGGGTCTGAAGACAGACAGTCACCTGCTGCAAGACACACCTGCTCTGATAGAGGGAAGCTGTTCCACCAGGGGTCTGCAAACAGGAGGACAGCTGCCACACGGCACACCAGTTCTGCCCGTGATGAAGGCACTTGTTCCACCAGGGGTCTGCAAACAGGAGGTTTGTTCCACATGGCACACCAGTTCTGCCCGTGATGGAAGGCACTTGTTTCACCAGGAGCCTGCAAACAGGAGGACAGCTGCCACACCAGTTCTGCCCGTGATGAAGGCACTTGTTCCACCAGGGGTCTGCAAACAGGAGGACAGCTGCCACACGGCACACCAGTTCTGCCCGTGATGAAGGCACTTGTTCCACCAGGGGTCTGCAAACAGGAGGACAGCTGCCACACGGCACACCAGTTCTGCCCGTGATGAAGGCACTTGTTCCACCAGGGGTCTGCAAACAGGAGGACAGCTGCCACACGGCACACCAGATCTGCCCGTGATGGAAGGCACTTGTTCCACCAGGGGCCTGCAAACAGGAGGACAGCTGCCACACGGCACACCAGTTCTGCCCGTGATGGAAGAAGGCACTTGTTCCACCAGGGGCCTGCAAACAGTAGGTCAGCTGCCACACCAGTTCTGCCCGTGATGGAAGGCACTTGTTCCACCAGGAGCCTGCAAACAGGAGGACAGCTGCCACACGGCACACCAGTTCTACCCGTGATGGAAGGCACTTGTTCCACCAGGGGCCTGCAAACAGTAGGTCAGCTGCCACACCAGTTCTGCCCGTGATGGAAGGCACTTGTTCCACCAGGCGCCTGCAAACAGGAGGACAGCTGTCACATGGCACACCAGTTCTGCCCGTGATGGAGGGAACCTGTTCCACCAGGGGTCTGCAAACAGGAGGACAGCTGTCACATGGCACACCAGTTCTGCCCGTGATGGAGGGAACCTGTTCCACCAGGGGCCTGCAAACAGGAGGACAGCTGTCACATGGCACACCAGTTCTGCCCGTGATGGAGGGAACCTGTTCCACCAGGGGCCTGCAAACAGGAGGACAGCTGTCACACGGCACACCAGTTCTGCCCGTGATGGAGGGAACCTGTTCCACCAGGGGTCTGCAAACAGGAGGACAGCTGTCACACGGCACACCAGTTCTGCCCGTGATGGAGGGCACCTGACCCTGTAGATCTGTACCCATTTCGTAAGTTGTTCGTTTTCGAGGGCACCTGATCCATGAGATCTGCACACAGATGGCCCTGCTGTACATTACCTGCAGTGGTTGTAGTTGTAGTGACGGTGGTTGTCGTACTAGTTGAGGTCGTGGTTGTAGTAGTTGGGGTAGTAGAAGTTAGGCGGGTTGTAGTTTTTGGAGTGAGCAGGGTAAAGTTGAAGCTTGTTGCACAGAGACGAGGGTTGCACTGGACTGTGTCACAGCACTGGAAACATAGCCTGGGGTGGGCGGCACGACGACCTACCATCGTCTGTAGAGTCTTGTACATGTCACAGATCTGTAATAGATAACACTCAGCTATCCTACATTACTATAAGGGTAACGCTATTTATCAGGGCATTATCATCTGCAGAAGCCCGAGGTCTTCCATTAATTGCCCGACGCAGGAGGGCAGTTGAAAAGACCGAGGGTTTCCGCAAATGACAATGCCCTGAAAAAAAGCGTTACTTTATAATAACTAAAATGGATGGGATTTGCTATCAAATAAAAAGAAACAATATCGGTTTTGAAACATTTACTGCGATAAACACGAATGTCACTGACTCACTTTTACAAATATGGAAACGTCATGAAACAAACCAGATGACGTCAGTATTGAACTTGACGTCACCTATCCCTATTCTATGACGTCACCTAACAACGGGCGTGATATTGGCCCGTCGTCACGCAATATGGGGGCATTATCAAGCTACAGTGGCCCGCTTATTTCTCATAACATGCGTGCATTCTATCCATTTTAGCTATTATACAACCTACCATTGTCTGTAAAGTTCTGTAAATACCACAGATCTGTGATTATAGATAACATTCAGTTCTACTTTACGACTATAACCTACCTGCTAGGACAGAATTAGTTGAAAATTATTGGACTAATTCTATTCTGAAACCACCCTGACTTTGTACCCTGCGTACTGGAAAGGGGTTTTCAGAATATTGGAGTCAATCTCTGACAACACTGACTCTTCCACTTAACGTCAGAGATATAATGGGAGGAATTTAGGCTATGATAACACACTCTTAAACCCTTCTTAAATGAAAATAAATATATTACAGCTTGATAATTGTCACTTCAACCCCTAGTCCTTTGTACAACTTAAGATGTTTCAAATAGCCTTTCTAGACCGAACAATATCATAACAGTCAATAAAATATACATTCAAATCATACATTCTGGAAGAGCAAGAAAGTCTTCAGAATCAATACTTATGTCACATGTTTGAAAAATACCATTTTACTCTTGCTAATTCTTTCAGAATTTTCTTTACACTTTAAATAACCAAATAAGTACGTCTGACACGTGTCCTCTACATGTATATACACACCTGCCTGCTCTCACAGCCCAGCCTGTAGGCGTGGTGGCCCGTGTCGTCTACATGTATATACACACCTGCCTGTAGGCGTGGTGGCCCGTGTCCTCTACATGTATATACACACCTGCCTGCTCTCACAGCCCAGCCTGTAGGCGTGGTGACACGTGTCCTCTACATGTATATACACAATGCCTGCTCTCACAACCCAGCCTGTAGGCGTGGTGGCCCGTGTCGTCTACATGTATATACACACCTGCCTGCTCTCACAACCCAGCCTGTAGGCGTGGTGGCCCGTGTCCTCTACATGTATATACACACCTGCCTGCTCTCACATCCCAGCCTGTAGGCGTGGTGGCCCGTGTCGTCTACATGTATATACACACCTGCCTGCTCTCACAGCCCAGCCTGTAGGCGTGGTGGCCCGTGTCCTCTACATGTATATACACACCTGCCTGTAGGCGTGGTGGCCCGTGTCGTCTACATGTATATACACACCTGCCTGCTCTCACAGCCCAGCCTGTAGGCGTGGTGGCCCGTGTCCTCTACATGTATATACACACCTGCCTGCTCTCACATCCCAGCCTGTAGGCGTGGTGACACGTGTCCTCTACATGTATATACACACCTGCATGCTCTCACAGCCCAGCCTGTAGGCGTGGTGACACGTGTCCTCTACATGTATATACACACCTGCCTGCTCTCACAGCCCCGCCTGTAGGCGTGGTGGCCCGTGTCCTCTACATGTATATACACACCTGCCTGCTCTCACAGCCCAGCCTGTAGGCGTGGTGGCCCGTGTCCTCTACATGTATATAAACACCTGCCTGCTCTCACAGCCCAGCCTGTAGGCGTGGTGGCCCGTGTCCTCTACATGTATATACACACCTGCCTGCTCTCACAGCCCAGCCTGTAGGCGTGGTGGCCCGTGTCCTCTACATGTATATACACACCTACCTGCTCTCACAGCCCAGCCTGTAGGCGTGGTGGCCCGTGTCGTCTACATGTATATACACACCTGCATGCTCTCACAGCCCAGCCTGTAGGCGTGGTGGCCCGTGTCCTCTACATGTATATACACACCTACCTGCTCTCACATCCCAGCCTGTAGGCGTGGTGGCCCGTGTCCTCTACATGTATATACACACCTGCCCACTCTCACAGCCCAGCCTGTAGGCGTGGTGGCCCGTGTCCTCTACATGTATATACACACCTGCCTGCTCTCACAGCCCAGCCTGTAGGCGTGGTGGCCCGTGTCCTCTACATGTATATACACACCTGCCTGCTCTCACAGCCCAGCCTGTAGGCGTGGTGGCCCGTGTCCTCTACATGTATATACACACCTGCCTGCTCTCACATCCCAGCCTGTAGGCGTGGTGGCCCGTGTCGTCTACATGTATATACACACCTGCCTGCTCTCACAGCCCAGCCTGTAGGCGTGGTGGCCCGTGTCCTCTACATGTATATACACACCTACCTGCTCTCACATCCCAGCCTGTAGGCGTGGTGGCCCGTGTCCTCTACATGTATATACACACCTGCCTGCTCTCACATCCCAGCCTGTAGGCGTGGTGGCCCGTGTCCTCTACATGTATATACACACCTGCCTGCTCTCACAACCCAGCCTGTAGGCGTGGTGGCCCGTGTCCTCTACATGTATATACACACCTGCCTGCTCTCACATCCCAGCCTGTAGGCGGGGTGGCCCGTGTCCTCTACATGTATATACACACCTGCCTGCTCTCACATCCCATCCTGTAGGCGTGGTGACCCGTGTCGTCTACATGTATATACACACCTGCCTGCTCTCACAGCCCAGCCTGTAGGCGTGGTGGCCCGTGTCGTCTACATGTATATACACACCTGCCTGCTCTCACAGCCCAACCTGTAGGCGTGGTGGCCCGTGTCGTCTACATGTATATACACACCTGCCTGCTCTCACAGCCCAACCTGTAGGCGTGGTGGCCCGTGTCGTCTATATACTCTCGGGTGAAGCAGATCTGATCAACACAGATAATTCAATAGTTTTCGGAAGTCTACTGTAAATCAATTTGTTCCAACACAGTGGTAAGTTAAATAGATACGATTTACGATACAAAACTATTTAAGTATTTCACAGATTAAAAGATCAAATATGCAACATGGTTAAAGATGTAGCCTACTAGATTTACTTTACATTGTAGATACGATGCACAATATACTAGAGTTTAGTTCAGTTGGCCTGGCAGGTGGCGAGTAATGTGATGTAGGTATATGTGTGTCGTGTGTACAAGGCCCACTTACCTCGTCCTGGCCACACATTTCGAAGGCCGTACAGGACTCGGGTGAAGACGCGTCGTTACAGGATCTGCACAACACGTCGTTGTCTGGGAGAACACGGTGACGTTGTTACATACAGTTGCGTTGTTACATACAGTAACGTTATTACACACGGTGACGTTATTACACACAATGGCGTTGTTACATACAGTGACGTTATTACACACAGTGACGTTATTACAGACAATGGCGTTGTTACACACAGTAACGTTATTACACACAATGGCGTTGTTACACACAGTAACGTTATAACACACATTGGCGTTATTACACAGTGACGTTATAACACACAATGGCGTTATTACATACAGTTACGTAATTACACACAGTGACTTATTACACACAATGGCGTTATTACACTCAGTGTCGTTATTATATACAGTGACGTCATTACACACAGTGATGTTATTATATACAGTGACCCCATAACACACAATGACGTTATTAAACACAGTTACGTTGTTACACACATTGGCGTTGTTACACACAGTGACGTTATTACACACTGTGACGTTGTTACGCGCAGTGACGTTATTACACACAACGACGTTATAACATACGGTGACGTTGTTACACGCAGTGACGTTATAACACACAGTGACGTTGTTACACGCAATGACGTAGTTACACACAGTGACGTTGTTACACGCAGTGATGTAATTACACGCAGTGACGTTATTACACACAACGACGTTATAACGTACAGTGACGTTTTTACACGCAGTGACGTTATTACACTCAGTGACGTTTTTACACGCAGTGACAATATTACACACAGTGACGTTATAACGTACAGTGACGTTGTTACACGCAGTGACGTTATTACACACAGTGACGTTGTGACACGCAGTGATGTTATTACACATAGTGACGTTATTACACGCAGTGACGTTATTACACTCAGTGACGTTGTTACACGCAGTGACGTTATTACACACAGTGACGTTGTTACACGCAGTGACGTTATTACACACAACGACGTTATAACGTACAGTGACGTTTTTACACGCAGTGACGTTATTACACTCAGTGACGTTGTTACACGCAGTGACGTTATAACGTACAGTGACGTTTTTACACGCAGTGACGTTATTACACTCAGTGACGTTGTTACACGCAGTGACGTTATTACACACAGTGACGTTGTTACACGCATTGACGTTATTACACACAGTGACGTTGTTACACGCAGTGATGTTATTACACACAGTGACGTTGTTACACGCAGTGACGTTGTTACACACAGTGACGTTGTTACGAACATTGACGTTGTGACACTAATTTGCGTTGGAACACACAGTTACGTTAATACACATAGTGACGTTATTACACTCAGTGACGTTGTTACACACATTGGCGTTGTTACACACTGTGACGTTATTACACAATGTGACGTTGTTACACTCAGTGACGTTGTTACACGCAGTGACGTTATTACGCACAGTGACGTTGTTACACACAGAGACGTTGTTACACACAGTGACGTTGTTACGAACATTGACGTTGTGACACTCATTTGCGTTGGAACACACAGTTACGTTATTACACATAGTGACGTTATTACACTCAGTGACGTTGTTACACACATTGGCGTTGTTACACACTGTGACGTTATTACACACTGTGACGTTGTTACGCACAGTGACGTTATTACACACAGTGACGTTGTTACACACAGTGACGTTGTTACGAACATTGACGTTGTGACACTCATTTGCGTTGGAACACACAGTTACGTTATTACACATAGTGACGTTATTACACTCAGTGACGTTGTTACACACATTGGCGTTGTTACACACTGTGACGTTATTACACACTGTGACGTTGTTACGCGCAGTGACGTTATTACACACAGTGACGTTGTTACACACAGTGACGTTGTTACACACAGTGACGTTGTTACGAACATTGACGTTGTGACACTCATTTGCGTTGGAACACACAGTTACGTTATTACACATAGTGACGTTATTACACTCAGTGACGTTGTTACACACATTGGCGTTGTTACACACTGTGACGTTGTTACGCGCAGTGACGTTATTACACAGAACGACGTTATAACATACGGTGACGTTGTTACACGCAGTGACGTTATTACACACAGTGACGTTGTTACACGCAATGACGTAGTTACACACAGTGACGTTGTTACACGCAGTGATGTAATTACACGCAGTGACGTTATTACACACAGTGACGTTGTAACATGCAGTGATGTTATTACACACCACGACGTTATAACGTACAGTGACGTTTTTACACGCAGTGACGTTATTACACTCAGTGACGTTGTTACACGCAGTGACGTTATTACACTCAGTGACGTTGTTACACGCAGTGACGTTATTACACACAACGACGTTATAACGTACAGTGACGTTTTTACACGCAGTGACGTTATTACACTCAGTGACGTTGTTACACGCAGTGACGTTATTACACACAGTGACGTTGTAACACGCAGTGATGTTATTACACACAGTGACGTTTTTACACGCAGTGACGTTATTACACTCAGTGACGTTATTACACGCAGGGATGTTATTACACACAGTGACGTTGTTACACGCAGTGACGTTATTACACACAGTGACGTTATAACGTACAGTGACGTTGTTACACGCAGTGACGTTATTACACACAACGACGTTATAACGTACAGTGACGTTTTTACACGCAGTGACGTTATTACACGCAGTGACGTTGTTACACGCAGTGACGTTATTACACACAGTGACGTTGTAACACGCAGTGATGTTATTACACACAGTGACGTTTTTACACGCAGTGACGTTATTACACTCAGTGACGTTATTACACGCAGGGATGTTATTACACACAGTGACGTTGTTACACGCAGTGACGTTATTACACACAGTGACGTTATAACGTACAGTGACGTTGTTACACGCAGTGACGTTATTACACACAACGACGTTATAACATACAGTGACGTTATTACTCTCAGTGACGTTGTTACACGCAGTGATGTTATTACACACAGTGACGTTGTTACACGCAGTGACGTTTTTACACACAATGACGTTGTTACACACAGTGATGTTATAACGTACAGTGACGTTGTTACACGCAGTGATGTTATTACACACAGTGACGTTGTTAAACGCAGTGACATTTTTACACACAATGACGTTGTTACACACAGTGACGTTTTTACACACAATGACGTTGTTACACGCAGTGATGTTATTACACACAATGACGTTGTTACACACAGTGACGTTTTTACAATTCTGGACATTCGTGATTACACAGACCTATATAGTAGGGCCTGTTTAATACTGTTGCTGCCGAATATTTGTCCCATTGTATAGCCTGGTGTGATTGTAAACCTAATCGTGTGTTCCTCAATGTTACTTGTCAATTATTGATTGTTTTAGTGTGGTTACTTACAGATTTCACAATATAGTTCTGCACGTATTGACTCCTGGGTTAACGTTTGCGCTTCAACTTGGGAACCACACCGAAACAGAATTTGGAAACTCGTCCGGGAGCTGCATTTAATTTCCCGAAGTTCTAAATTGGTAAACAAAACCTTCTCAGTTAAATTTGCCTGTTTTCAGTCTGTCACTTAGCTTTAATATGTATTGTTACGAAAACTGTAACGGCTACATGGAGTTTAAGCTTCAGAGAGTTGTTGAGTCTCCACGTGATGAGGAAATCAGGATTTTTACAAACAGGAGAGAGAATATCAGAGTTAAATTGAAAATAAAAGAAATAAAAAATCAAAAGAAAGGAAGGAGACACAGAGAGAGAGAGAGAGAGAGAGAGAGAGAGAGAGAGAGAGAGAGAGAGAGAGAGAGAGAGAGAGAGGGGGGGATAAAACATATATTGTCCCCCTCAACATGACCAGAATTACTTTAATGTGACAATAAATGCCTGATTGGGATTTCACGTACATATCGTCATCAAACGGTGAATTTGGCTCACAATACACTATGGCTTGTCATTTGGGTGTTAACAAAACTTGTGATAATACCTTTGATCATTTCGGTGAGCCTAGTTTACGTCAGGAGGTTTAACAGTTTCATAAGACGTGTCATGTATGTCAGGTGGTAGGAAAAGCCTCTACCATTGTCATTGTTGACAGTGTATGTCACTTGCCTCAGACAAGGTCAGGTGGCAGGACAAGCCTCTACCATTGTCACTATTGACAGTGTATGTCACTTGCCTCGGACAAGGTCAGGTGGTAGGACAAGCCTCTACCATTGTCACTATTGACAGTGTATGTCACTAGCCTCGGACAAGGTCAGGTGGTAGGACAAGCCTCTACCATTGTCACTATTGACAGTGTATGTCACTAGCCTCGGACAAGGTCAGGTGGTAGGACAAGCCTCTACCATTGTCACTATTGACAGTGTATGTCACTAGCCTCGGACAAGGTCAGGTGGTAGGACAAGCCTCTACCATTGTCACTATTGACAGTGTATGTCACTTGCCTCAGACAAGGTCAGGTGGTAGGACAAGCCTCTACCATTGTCACTATTGACAGTGTATGTCACTTGCCTGAGACAAGGTCAGGTGGTAGGACAAACCTCTACCATTGTCACTGTTGACAGTGTATGTCACTTGCCTCAGACAAGGTCTGGTAAACAGTACTTGCTGACAATCATGTCTGCATCATGCAGATTCATGGAAGCCATTCCATTGAGGAACGTTACGTTATTTTGAAGTTTCGATCAAGTTTCTCATCATGAGTGACTTACTCATAGTAGTTCAGCTTGATCAATGATCACATTACAAGAGAGGACTGTACATGTGTTAGCATGTCATGTATAAGCAGGGCGTGATGCAGGTAAAACCACAGCGTATTGCCCTTAGTTACAAGTTGTGTTGGAGAGGCTCTATCAAACTCTTAAAAATATTATCAGGATTTATTTAGAGACGATCGTGTATCCCATTGAAGTATTCACTGATCACAATCCACAGACCCTTCGTCTCAAAATTAAGAACAGAAAACAGAGATTGGGAGGTGGATTTGCCTTTGGGAGATTTGAATCTTGAGATCAAACGTATCAGGGGCAAGATAATGTAACTACAGAAGAACTGTCTAGAGTCGTTCGTACATATAGTGACTGTTCATAGTATGTCTGCGTCTAGCTAGAGTGTACTCACTCACCAGTGTACTCAGTAACTGGTGTACTTACTGACGGGCGCTTCCATTGCCATGTGTCTGCCCTTAACATAGGCCACCAGTAGCTGCAGACAGAGACTCAAGATAAACAATGTCATACATTATGTTGACAGTAAAACATAAGCATTATGAAGAAATTCAAAGAGGCATTATTACACTGAGACAACGTTGAAGTGGTTCCAACTGACTGAAATGTTTTACATAGAAAGAATACTGATGTAGTCACTCACAACACAAAGGATGCATCGTCAGTCTGAACATCGGTCAAGTTATCCACACTGGTGCCGTCACTCACAACACAAAGGTTGTTTCGACATTCTGACTACCAGCCTTGATAGCATCACTGATGCCGTTACTCAAATCACAAAGGTTGTTTCGACATTCTGACTACCAGCCTTGATAGCATCACTGGTGCCGTTACTCACATCACAAAGGTTGTTTCGACATTCTGAATACCAGCCATGACATCATCGCTGATGCCGTTACTCAAATCACAAAGGTTGTTTCGACATTCTGAATACCAGCCATGATATCATCGCTGATGCCGTTACTCAAATCACAAAGGTTGTTTCGACATTCTGAATACCAGCCATGATATCATCGCTGATGCCGTTACTCACATCACAAACGTTGTTTCGACATTCTGAATACCAGCCATGACATCATCGCTGATGCCGTTACTCACATCACAAAGGTTGTTTCGACATTCTGAATACCAGCCATGATATCATCGCTGATGCCGTTACTCACATCACAAAGGTTGTTTCGACATTCTGAATACCAGCCATGACATCATCGCTGATGCCGTTACTCACATCACAAAGGTTGTTTCGACATTCTGAATACCAGACATGATATCATCGCTGATGCCGTTACTCACATCACAAAGGTTGTTTCGACATTCTGAATACCAGCCATGACATCATCGCTGATGCCGTTACTCACATCACAAAGGTTGTTTCGACATTCTGAATACCAGACATGATATCATCGCTGATGCCGTTACTCACATCACAAAGGTTGTTTCGACATTCTGAATACCAGCCATGATATCATCGCTGATGCCGTTACTCACAACACAAAGGTTGTTTCGACATTCTGAATACCAGCCATGATATCATCGCTGATGCCGTTACTCACAACACAAAGGTTGTTTCGACATTCTGACTACCAGCCATGATAGCATCAATGAAGCCGTTACTCACAACACAAAGGTTGTTTCGACATTCTGAATACAGCCTTGATAGCATCACTGAAGCCGTTACTCACACAACAAAGGTTGTTTCGACATTCTGAATACAGCCTTGATAGCATCACTGAAGCCGTTACTCACACAACAAAGGTTGTTTCGACATTCTGAATACAGCCTTGATAGCATCAATGAAGCCGTTACTCTCAACACAAAGGTTGTTTCGACATTCTGAATACAGCCTTGATAGCATCAATGAAGCCGTTACTCACAACACAAAGGTTGTTTCGACATTCTGACTACCAGCCATGATAGCATCACTGAAGCCGTTACTCTCAACACAAAGGTTGTTTCGACATTCTGACTACCAGCCATGATATCACCACTGAAGCCGTCACTCACATCTCAAAGGTTGTTTCGACATTCTGAATGCAGCCTTGATAGCATCACTGAAGCCGTTACTCACAACAACACTAAAGTTGTATGGACATAACAAACATCAGTCGTGACAACAACCACCAAAAGGTAAGGTCCATGACATTCACCGTCTGTGCAGGCACAACGTCAGATGTTTCCTCAAGAAAAAATGACCTTATAACCGAAATGATAACAATGGATCGTGAACACGAGCAGCTGTTCACCTGGAAACGTTGTTTGTGCACGTCAGGTATATGAACACATACAAGGGCCTTCCTGCACACTCACCATGAGGTTTGGCCAGAGACTGAGGACGGACATGCTGGACCTCCACAGCTGGTCAAGAAACGTCCGGTAATTAACGTCAGTCAGACACACGGGCCAAATCTCCTTCTTGACCTACAAATCTTATCACGATCAGTTGTCTCAGGTCAGGCAAATATACACTGACACACTGTCCTGGATGACTCCTTGTGGAGTTACAGCTGAATCAACCTTATTGTCCTTGTTAAAACGTTCTCGCTGGGTTTGATATCGTAAGTCCTTGTCTCTATTAACGCGTAACTCGACATCGTACTGTCCTCGTCTCGAACAACGTATAACATGACACGTATTCGATGGTTACGGGACTGTTGGGTAACTTCGACGCTTCATTGTCTATACAGTCTACATTTCTGGTCGGTATTATAATGCATATTTGGGGGTTACACACTTAAGGAAGAGAATGTTTCAAGTGGTCGGTATTATAATGCATATTTGGGGGTTACACGCTTAATGAAGAGAACGTTTCATGTGGTCGGGATTATAATGCATTTTGGGGTTTACAAACTCAAGAGTTTGGGCGTTTTAAGTGGTCGGTATTATAATGCATATTTGGGGGTTACACACTTAAGGGAGAGAAAGTTTCAAGTGGTCGGTATAATATTGCATATTTGGGATTTACAAACTCAAGAGTTTGGGCGTTTTAAGTGGTCGGTATTATAATGCATATTTGGGGGTTACACACTTAAGGGAGAGAAAGTTTCAAGTGGTCGGTATAATATTGCATATTTGGGATTTACAAACTCAAGAGTTTGGGCGTTTTAAGTGGTCGGTATTATAATGCATATTTGGGGTTTACACTCTTAAGGGAGAGAGCGTTTCAAGAGGGCGGTATAATATTGCATATTTGGGATTTACAAACTCAAGAGTTGGGGCGTTTCAAGTGGTCGGTTTTATAATGCATATTTGGAGTTTACACTCTTAAGGGAGAGATCGTTTCAAGTGAAAATGGGAAACATGCACTGAGCAGACTGATGGGGACACCAAGTTGTATGGTCATTGTGTGTGATTTGAGGCAAATGTGACTGATGGGAAACACGCACTGAGCAGACTGATGGGGACACCAAGATGTATGGTCATTGTGTGTGTTTTGAGAAACGTGTGAATCTTTGAACTAAAGTCATGTCAAGCCTAGGCTTTTCCTTTTCATTGTGTTTTCGGTTTCACAGTTAAGATCTTATCGATGCCATCATCCACAAAGACAAACCTGTTTGTAATAAGTCCGGCGTTTGGATTCGGGGGTCGAAAAGTTCTTCAAACAGCAAGTCCTCTGACACAGACGCTGACAAACCCGGACTTGGTGGGGTTGATCTTGGAGCACTAGAAACAATCTTGAAACGCTCGCAATTTGAGCCTTGGAACTTCAATCTGGCCATATGCAGTTTTAACAACAAAGACATAAAATGTGTTCAGCTGTTGAATTATATGATTAACTCTTCCCGTCAGTCAGATCTCCGTCCACTTTAACGAGGTCATTTACTTTGGCAAGTGTCATTTATTCAACCATGTTTATTTACAAACAACGCAGTAGTATTGCTTTGTTGATTAAAGTGAGAAATCGTGTCGTTGATATGAAACTATATTTCTTGTCTTAAAAATAGCGATTACGTGAGATAATATCACGTAAGACATGTGAATGAATGCCATGGATTTGTGAATGAACGGAATAAGAGAAAAAAAGTCCGAAAAAAAGTCCGGTGTGTGGTTTGGGTGGTGGAGTGGGTGGTGGGGTGGGTGGTGGGGTGGGTGGTGGAGTGGGTGGTGGAGTGGGTGGTGGGGTGGGTGGTGGGGTGGGTGGTGGAGTTGGTGGTGGGGTGGGTGGTGGAGTGGGTGGTGGAGTGGGTGGTGGGGTGGGTGGTGGGGTGGGTGGTGGAGTGGGTGGTGGGGTTGGGGGGGTGGGGTGGGGGTGGTGGGTGAGCAATGTGTGTGCTGCGGGGGAGGGGAGGGAGGGATCATTTAGACAATGGTCAACGCAGTCGGTGAAGCATGACCCACTCTGACGCAAATGGTTCATACCACATGTCCAAGGAGAATTCCGCGGTCAGTGTGGCTTGGTGAGGATCGTGTATGCCCTTCGTTATGTCGATAGCGTACATTGTTCACAGACCGCCTCCGTGGCCTAGTGGTAGAGCGTCCGCCCGTATAGCGGAAGGTCCGGGGTTCGATCCCCGGCCGCGTCATACCAAAAGACGTTAAAAGATGGTACTTGTTGTTACCCTGTCTGGCGCTCGGCATTAAGGGGCTAAAACAAGGACTGGTCGGCTCGGAGTCAGTATTCTGTGTCTGAGTAGGGTATTAATGTTAAACTGCGGCATGGTATCTCAGTGAGCTAGCACTATAAATCGGCATCAGTCCGGACTAGTACAAGCAGACACATAAACACACACACACGTACATGCACGTCGCTATATAAGTGCAATAATCTTGGACGCGACGTTAAACCCCATTTCACCTCACCTCACATTGTTCACAGCTGTATATTAGTGATCGGATAGTTGTGTTATTTGTTTGTTTTGATTGGTTGTTGTTTCACGCCGTCATCATCAACATTTCAGCCATTTGACGGCTGCGTGGATATAATCGAGTTTGGACCAGACAAACATGTGATTGATATCATAAGCCGTCGTCAGGATACGAAGGTAAATAATCAAACACAATTACACAAGCAAGATTCAGCAGGCGGCGTGGCCCTGGCGACGTTCAAGGCCTCACCCTACATCCACAGAGGCGACTGAGACATCACTACATGAGTGAGTGAGTGAGTGAGTGAGTTGGGTTAAACGCTGCTATTGAACAGTATTCCAGTTTTATCGCGGCGTGTCAGCTTAATGTAGGAGGAAAGCCCGAAGTGATGCAGGTCTCAGACGTTTACCACTTCGGTGAAACCCACGAGCACGGGTATGGTGCTGACAAACCTAGAAACATAATCGGAACGAACCGGGATTCGAACCCACAATCATAGGTTTCTGGCGTGCCCATGGTACGCAACTCTGCACAGCGAATAGCGGCGCCTTAGACGACTGGGCCACCCGTGCGCCCGCCACTAAATGAATTTCACAACACAAAGACATGTACTTCACACTTTTATTGTCACATTGTCGCTACCTGGGATAAACACACGTTCATGTTCATCACAGAACTATCAATACATGAGTTACGTAACGCTGGAAGCCATTGATGACAAACTGACGTCATGTCTGCTTCAGTTATCACGTAGAAAGTGATTCAAATCCGCTGCAGGTTTAATGGCAGGTTATCACCATACAGTAACGTCACCTGCACTGCACAGTTAGAACTTTTATAACGACGACGATCAGCTTGACAAATACACGTCCACAGTTACGAAGACGTTACGGTGGAGACCATTAGAACTCTCTAACGTCAACCACTAAACAATAAAGTAACGTCACCTGCACTGCACAGTTATAACGACGACGATCAGCTTCACAAATACACGTCCACAGTTACGAAGACGTTACGCTCGAGACCAATAAGGGTGGGTTGTGGAGTGGGTGGTGGGGTGGGTGGTGGAGTGGATTGTGGAGTAGGTGGTGGAGTGGGTGGTGGGGTGGGTGGTGGAGTGGATGGTGGAGTAGGTGGTGGAGTGGGTGGTGGGGTGGGGGGTGTGGTGGGTGGTGGGGTGGGTGGTGGAGTGGATGGTGGAGTAGGTGGTGGAGTGGGTGGTGGGGTGGGGGGTGGGGTGGGTGGTGGAGTGGGTGGTGGGGTGGGTGGTGGGGTGGGTGGTGTTGTGGGTGAGCAGTGTGTGTGCTGCGGGGGAGGGGAGGGAGTGATCATTTAGACAATGGTCAACGCAGTCGGTGAAGCATGACCCACTCTGACGCAAATGGTTCATACCACATGTCCAAGGAGAATTCCGCGGTCAGTGTGGCTTGGTGAGGATCGTGTATGCCCTTCGTTATGTCGATAGCGTACATTGTTCACAGACCGCCTCCGTGGCCTAGTGGTAGAGCGTCCGCCCGGAGAGCGGAAGGTCCGGGGTTCGATCCCCGGCCGCGTCATACCAAAAGACGTTAAAAGATGGTACTTGTTGTTACCCTGTCTGGCGCTCGGCATTAAGGGGCTAAAACAAGGACTGGTCGGCTCGGAGTCAGTATTCTGTGTCTGAGTAGGGTATTAATGTTAAACTGCGGCATGGTATCTCAGTGAGCTAGCACTATAAATCGGCATCAGTCCGGACTAGTACAAGCAGACACATAAACACACACACACGTACATGCACGTCGCTATATAAGTGCAATAATTCTGGACGCGACGTTAAACCCCATTTCACCTCACCTCACATTGGTCACAGCTGTATATTAGTGATCGGATAGTTATGTTATTTGTTTGTTTTGATTGGTTGTTGTTTCACGCCGTCATCATCAACATTTCAGCTATTTGACGGCTGCGTGGATATAATCGCGTTTGGACCAGACAAACATGTGATTGATGTTATGAGCCGTCGTCAGGATACGAAGGTAAATAATCAAACACAATTGATTGGCTTGGCCCTGGCGACGTTCAAGACCTCATCCTACATCCACAGAGGCGACTGAGACATCACTACATGAGTGAGTGAGTGAGTTGGGTTTAACGCTGCTTTTGAACAGTATTCCAGTTTTATCGCGGCGTGTCAGCTTAATGTGGGAGGAAAGCCCGAAGTGATGCAGGTCTCAGACGTTTACCACTCCGGTGAAACCCACGAGCACGAGTATGGTGCTGACAAACCTAGAAACATAATTGGGGCGAACCGGGATTCGAACCCACAATCATAGGTTTCTGGCGTGCCCATGGAACGCAAGTCTGCACAGCGAATAGCGGCGCCTTAGACGACTGGGCCACCCGTGCGCCCGCCACTAAATGAATTTCACAACACAAAGAAATGTACTTCACACTTTTATTGTCACATTGTCGTTACCTGGGATAAACACACGTTCATGTTCATCACAGAACTATCAATACCATCAACATGAGTTACGTGACGCTGGAAGCCATTGATAACAAACTGACGTCATGTCTGCTTCAGTTATCACGTAGAAAGTGATTCAAATCCGCTGCAGGTTTAATGGCAGGTTATCACCATACAGTAACGTCACCTGCACTGCACAGTTAGAACTTTTATAACGACGACGATCAGCTTCACACATACACGTCCACAGTTACGAAGACGTTACGGTGGAGACCATTAGAACTCTCTAACGTCAACCACTAAACAATAAAAGACGTTACGCTGGAGACCAATAAGAACTCTCTAACGTCAACTACTAAACAATAAAAGACGTTACGCTGGAGACCAATAAGAACTCTCTCACGTCAACCACTAAACAATACAGTAACGTCACCTGCACTGCATAGTTACGAAGACGTTACGCTGGAGACCGATAAGAACTCTCTAACGTCAACCACTAAACAATACAGTAACGTCACCTGCACTGCATAGTTACGAAGACGTTACGCTGGAGACCAATAAGAACTCTCTAACGTCAACCACTAAACAATAAGTCAAATCAATCTAATAGCCCAATCTCTTTGTAAGTTACACCACAAAACGACGTAATTCTGCCAAACATGTAGCATAACGTCATTTTATTACGTTCAAAAATACGAAACGTTTCTGAAACGCCTGTCCTGCAGAGACAACATAATAAAGATGTACATCAGATATACACAAACATTCGTCGTCTCGGTGATGACGTTATATCACTTCATCAACATCGCCTCTCAGAATTGATTACAGGTGTGTTGCCATTGTGCCAGGTATTTAGGACAGAGTTGATTACAGGTGTGTTGTCATTGTGCCAGGTATTTGGGACAGAGTTGATTACAGGTGTGTAACAATTCTGCGAGGTATTTAGGGCAGAGTTGATTACAGGTGTGTTGTCATTCTGCCAGGTATTTAGGACAGAGTTGATTACAGGTGTGTTGTCAATCTGCCAGGTATTTAGGATAGAGTATATTACAGGTGTGTTGCCGTTGTGCCAGGTATTTAGGACAGAGTTGATTACAGGTGTGTTGCCATTGTGCCAGGTATTTGGGACAGAGTTGATTACAGGTGCGTTGCCATTGTGCCAGGTATTTAGGACAGAGTTGATTACAGGTGTGCAACCATTGTGCCAGGTACATAGGATAGAGTTGATTACAGGTGCGATAGCCACTGTGCCAGATAACAAGGTCAAGGTTGTCTGAAGGTGAACAGGACAACCACCGTGCCAGGTTTATAGACTTGAGTTGATTATAGGTGCGCGTCTGGCGTGACACTACCGGCCGTTGATCCCTCCCTCACTCACTCTGCAGGAGAACATAGGACACTATGCAGTCTATATACAGGGTGGGATACACACATATACATGAGCATCGCGACCATGTCGCTCGACGTTATACAACCAGTTCGTTTATGGTTCGTTACAAGAATAAATAATGCTTTCATACAGAATGACATGACAGTGTCAGCGTTTACAGAGCTGAACGATAAGAGTGATTACTGTGATGGCGGCGACGACGGAGGAGAATGGGGCGACGTTGACGCTGGACGATGGTACCACACGGCTGTAGCGCTGTTGGACAGGGGACCTGGAAAACATCAGTGTTTGAAAGTAAGAGGGGCTGACTGAAATATTGAAATATATGTTCTTTGGTTGTTGTTTACGCTGTACTTGGCAATAGTACAACTATCTGTCAGCGATATGTGAGTACTCGAGTCTGGACCAGACAATCAAGTGATTGAGCACATGAACACAGATCCACGTAGTTGTAATACGTGAGTGAGTATGGTTTTACGCCGCTTTAGCGGTATTCCAGCAATATCACGGCGGGGGATACCAGAAATGAATTTCACACATTGTACCGATATGGGGAATCGAACCCGCGTCTTCGGCATGACAACGAGCGCTTTATCCACAGGGCTAACCCACCGCCGAAATGAGATACGGTGACTTGCATAAAAACAACAAACTTACATGTACCTGATGGCACGGATAGGTGAGTAAGTGAATGATTTTTTAAGACATAACAATAATCTAGATATATCAGGCCACTATGAGCAACGCTCAACACAAGACCAATCATAAATCAGCTACAAGCCTGATATTGAGGCATCAAGAGATTACCCCACACCACCTGCCGCGTGCTGACGGCGACTAATATCACAAACTATCTACTGCAAGACATCAATGCACCGTGTGTATAATTGTAACACTGCAGTGAGTTGATTCACCTTGTCCTGAAATGGGGGACCTCCTCATCTGGGGCCGTAACGGTGTCAGAGACGACGTTGTCCCAGGTGGCGCCGTTGTCGTAGCTCACCTCGACGTTCTGGTTGGGGTACTCCGTGTTGACCTCCCACCTTCGGCCTTGACCCCTGCAACATACTCCATTTACAATGATATCTGGTCAAAGTTTGCGCCCTCTGAACTTTCATTCTATGCCCTTATTTCGGATGAGATGCTTTCGCACAATTACATCATGGTATTGAATAGAATCATTAACATACCTGGCCCCTGGTGGTGGAACTCTATACGACACGCCAAGCCTGTCCAAGAACGGTAACTCTTTGTACCCAAGTGTGTTAGCAAAACGACTCCAGTCCTGAACTCGCGACGCGTTTCTAGCCGTGACGTCAGTGAGGTTCTCCCACGCGGCCCGGTGCCACGCCCTCTCCGCCACAGCCAGAAGTCGGGGGTATATGAGACCCTCCTGCTGTTCCGCCGTCCGCGTCATCTCGCTGAATATCTGGGCCTGGATACCTGTAACAGCACCACCTCACAAAACTCAACTTTGTGACCGTTTTATTTTGGGCCCCCTTTTAGATTCCGGGAAATAGAGATTCCCAATATCCCCTACATCCACTATATCCCATTGTCGCGATATTCAATCGTTACGATATTCCATTGTTACGATATCCCATTGTTATGATATTCCATTGTTACGATATCCCACTGTTATGATATCCCATTGTTACGATATCCCACTGTTATGATATCCCATTGTTATGATATCCCATTGTTACGATATTCCATTGTTACGATATCCCATTGTTACAATATCCCATTGTTATGATATTCCATTGTTACAATATCCCATTGTCATAATATTCCATCGTTACGATATCGTAACAATGGGATACCGTAACGATTGATTATCGTGACAATGGGATATCGTAACAATGGGATATCGTAATGATGGGATATCATAATAAAGGAATATTGTAACAATGGGATATCTTACAATTGGGATATCGTAACAATAGGATATTGTAACAATGGGATATCGTATCGATGGAATATAGTGACAATGGAATATCCCATTGTCATGATATTCCATCATAACAATATCCCATTGTTACAATATCCTATTGTCACGATATTCCATCATTACGATATTCCATCGTTACGATATCCCATTGTTACGATATTATATTGTTACGATATTCCATTGTTACGATATCCCATTGTTACGATATTATATTGTTACGATATCCCATTGTTACGATATTCCATTGTTACGATATTCCATTGTTACGATATCCCATTGTTACGATATCCCATTGTTACGATATTCCATTGTTACGATATCCCATTGTTACGATATTCCATTGTTACGATATCCCATTGTTACGATATCCCATTGTTACGATATTCCATTGTTACGATATTCCATTGTTACGATATCCCATTGTTACGATATTCCATTGTTACGATATTCCATTGTTACGATATCCCATTGTTACGATATTCCATTGTTACGATATCCCATTGCTACGATATTCCATCGTTATGATATCCCATTGCTACGATATCCCATTGTTACGATATCCCATTGTTACGATATTCCATAGTTACGATATCCCATTGCTACGATATTCCATCGTTATGATATCCCATTGCTACGATATTCCATCGTTACGATATCCCATCGTTACGATATCCCATTGTTACGATATCCCATTGTTACGATATCCCATTGCTACGATATTCCATCGTTATGATATCCCATTGTTACGATATTCCATTGTTATGATATTCCGTTGTTACGATGTTCCATTATTATGATATTCCGTTGTTTCGTGTCGACTACCAAATTTAAATGCGACAGTAAACCCAGAAATCGCAATGTTCCGAAACAAATTGTTAAATTCATCAATTACCGCACAAGGTCAATGAACAATCAACGAAACACGCTGTTCCGTGTTCGCTGTCAGATCACCTGTACTGACCTATGATGTTCTGTGTGTGCTGTAATCCTACTGTGTCACATCACCTGTACTGACCTATGATGTTCTGTGTGTGCTGTAATCCTACTGTGTCAGATCACCTGTACTGACCTATGATGTTCTGTGTGTGCTGTAATCCTACTGTGTCACATCACCTGTACTGACCTATGATGTTCTGTGTGTGCTGTAATCCTACTGTGTCACATCACCTGTACTGACCTATGATGTTCCGTGTTCGCTGTCAGATCACCTGTACTGACCTATGATGTTCTGTGTGTGCTGTAATCCTACTGTGTCACATCACCTGTACTGACCTATGATGTTCTGTGTGTGCTGTAATCCTACTGTGTCACATCACCTGTACTGACCAATGATGTTCTGTGTGTGCTGTAATCCTACTGTGTCAGATCACCTGTACTGACCTATGATGTTCCGTGTGTGCTGTAATCCTACTGTGTCACATCACCTGTACTGACCTATGATGTTCTGTGTGTGCTGTAATCCTACTGTGTCAGATCACCTGTACTGACCTATGATGTTCTGTGTGTGCTGTAATCCTACTGTGTCACATCACCTGTACTGACCTATGATGTTCTGTGTGTGCTGTAATCCTACTGTGTCACATCACCTGTACTGACCTATGATGTTCCGTGTGTGCTGTAATCCTACTGTGTCACATCACCTGTACTGACCTATGATGTTCTGTGTGTGCTGTAATCCTACTGTGTCACATCACCTGTACTGACCTATGATGTTCTGTGTGTGCTGTAATCCTACTGTGTCACATCACCTGTACTGACCTATGATGTTCTGTGTGTGCTGTAATCCTACTGTGTCACATCACCTGTACTGACCTATGATGTCCTGTGTGTGCTGTAATCCTACTGTGTCACATCACCTGTACTGACCTATGATGTTCTGTGTGTGCTGTAATCCTACTGTGTCACATCACCTGTACTGACCTATGATGTTCTGTGTGTGCTGTAATCCTACTGTGTCACATCACCTGTACTGACCTATGATGTTCTGTGTGTGCTGTAATCCTACTGTGTCACATCACCTGTACTGACCTATGATGTTCTGTGTGTGCTGTAATCCTACTGTGTCACATCACCTGTACTGACCTATGATGTTCTGTGTGTGCTGTAATCCTACTGTGTCACATCACCTGTACTGACCTATGATGTTCTGTGTGTGCTGTAATCCTACTGTGTCACATCACCTGTACTGACCTATGATGTTCTGTGTGTGCTGTAATCCTACTGTGTCACATCACCTGTACTGACCTATGATGTTCTGTGTGTGCTGTAATCCTACTGTGTCACATCACCTGTACTGACCTATGATGTTCTGTGTGTGCTGTAATCCTACTGTGTCACATCACTTGTACTGACCTATGATGTTCTGTGTGTGCTGTAATCCTACTGTGTCAGATCACCTGTACTGACCTATGATGTTCTGTGTGTGCTGTAATCCTACTGTGTCACATCACCTGTACTGACCTATGATGTTCTGTGTGTGCTGTAATCCTACTGTGTCACATCACCTGTACTGACCTATGATGTTCTGTGTGTGCTGTAATCCTACTGTGTCACATCACTTGTACTGACCTATGATGTTCTGTGTGTGCTGTAATCCTACTGTGTCAGATCACCTGTACTGACCTATGATGTTCTGTGTGTGCTGTAATCCTACTGTGTCACATCACCTGTACTGACCTATGATGTTCCGTGTGTGCTGTAATCCTACTGTGTCACATCACCTGTACTGACCTATGATGTTCTGTGTGTGCTGTAATCCTACTGTGTCACATCACCTGTACTGACCTATGATGTTCTGTGTGTGCTGTAATCCTACTGTGTCACATCACCTGTACTGACCTATGATGTTCTGTGTGTGCTGTAATCCTACTGTGTCACATCACCTGTACTGACCTATGATGTTCTGTGTGTGCTGTAATCCTACTGTGTCACATCACCTGTACTGACCTATGATGTTCTGTGTGTGCTGTAATCCTACTGTGTCACATCACCTGTACTGACCTATGATGTTCCGTGGTCGCTCTAACGGGAGACACATGTCCTGTCTCCGTGCGCAGTAGCCCTGCCGTGTCAGAGGTTCCCCGGTGAAGGTGACGTCAACGTTGCTGTACACGTCGTCCGGCGTGTACCAAAACATTTTCCTGGCGTCTGTGTAGCGAGTAGCCCAAAACAAGCCGCGCTCCAGGGGGTCGGGCTCCTGTGGGTGGTCCAAGTACAGGTGGGTGGCATGGCCTAGCACGACCTGGAGCAGGGGGTGTGCACAGTTACGGGGGGTCATGTTGAGGGGTGGGACAACTTGTTATTGATCGGAGGTCATGCTGTGGGGTTTGGCAAATTGGAAATGAGGGATGGGCGGTCATGTTGAGGGGTTTGGCAATATGCAAATTAACCTCCGTGTTACACGTGTATCCCCATGTCACACCACCATGTATCCCCGTGTCACACCCACGTGTATCCCCGTGTCACACCACCTTGTAACCCCGTGTCACACCCACGTGTATCCCCGTGTCACACCACCTTGTATCCCCATGTCACACCACCTTGTATCCCCATGTCACACCACCTTGTATCCCCATGTCACACCACCTTGTATCCCCATGTCACACCACCTTGTATCCCCGTGTCACACCACCTTGTATCCCCGTGTCACACCACCATGTATCCCCGTGTCACACCACCATGTATCCCCATGTCACACCACCATGTATCCCCGTGTCACACCACCTTGTATCCCCATGTCACACCACCATGTATCCCCGTGTCACACCCACGTGTATCCCCGTGTCACACCACCTTGTATCCCGTGTCACACCCACGTGTATCCCCGTGTCACACCACCTTGTATCCCCATGTCACACCACCTTGTATCCCCATGTCACACCACCTTGTATCCCCATGTCACACCACCTTGTATCCCCGTGTCACACCACCTTGTATCCCCGTGTCACACCACCTTGTATCCCCGTGTCACACCACCATGTATCCCCGTGTCACACCACCATGTATCCCCATGTCACACCACCATGTATCCCCGTGTCACACCACCTTGTATCCCCGTGTCACACCACCTTGTATCCCCGTGTCGCACCCACGTGTATCCCCGTGTCACACCACCTTGTATCCCCGTGTCACACCACCTTGTATCCCCGTGTCACACCACCATGTATCCCCGTGTCACACCACCTTGTATCCCCGTGTCACACCACCTTGTATCCCCGTGTCGCACCCACGTGTATCCCCGTGTCACACCACCTTGTATCCCCGTGTCACACCACCTTGTATGCTAGTGTCACACCACCTTGTATCCCCGTGCCACACCACCTTGTATCCCCGTGTCACACCACCATGTATCCCCGTGTCACACCACCTTGTATCCCCGTGTCACACCACCTTGTATCCCCGTGTCTCACCATCTTGTATCCCCGTGCCACACCACCTTGTATCCCCGTGTCACACCACCATGTATCCCCATGTCACACCACCTTGTATCCCCGTGTCACACCACCTTGTATCCCCGTGTCACACCACCTTATATCCCCGTGTCACGCCACCTTGTATCTCCGTGTCACACCACCTTGTATCCCCGTGTCACACCACCGTATATCCCCGTGTCACACCACCATGTATCACCATGTCACACCACCTTGTATCCCCGTGTCACACCTCCTGGTATCCCCGTGTCACACCACCTTGTATCCCCGTGTCACACCACCTTGTTTCCCCGTGTCACACCACCTTGTATCTCCGTGTCACACCACCTTGTATCCCCATGTCACACCACCTTGTATCCCCGTGTCACACCATCTTGTATCCCCGTGTCACACCTCCTTGTATCCCCGTGCCACACCACCTTGTATCCCCGTGTCACACCACCATGTATCCCCGTGTCACACCACCTTGTATCTCCGTGTCACACCACCTTGTTCACACCACCTTGTATCCCCGTGTCACACCTCCTTGTATCCCCGTGTCACACCTCCTTGTATCCCCGTGTCACACCTCCTTGTATCCCAGTGTCACACCACCTTGTATCCCCGTGTCACACTACCTTGTATCCCCGTGTCACACCACCTTGTATCCCCGTGTCACACCACCTTGTATCCCCATGTCACACCACCTTGTATCCCCGTGTCACACCACCTTGTATCCCGTGTCACACCCACCTTGTATCCAGCATTAGCCATTCTGTAGGCTCTGTTTGCTCTGCCGCCAGTCCACGCGTTGTTCCACACCATGGCGGTATGGATGTTGGACAGCCTGCGGAGGGGTGTTTCCCCCGTCTCCATCAGTCCATCCACCCATCCCGACAGGGTGATGCGGAGATCAGATGCTATACGTGACACACGCTCCGCAAAGAACTCCCTCACCCCATTCCTGTCCAGTCGTCGCGCCCTACACGCGGAAGAATTAACAAACACGTCTCTCACTTCACCGCCTACAAAGTGATACGTCCGCATTGGGTCTATATCTCGTCTCATTCTCTGCACTTCTTGCAGCACATGGCGGATGAATCTGTAAGTCGAGTCCAGACACGGGTTCACCATGTTGTCGTCAAACATCTGCACAGACAGGAAGTCCAGGTTGTCGTCTGCGTCAGTCAACAGGAAGTCGTCTGCTGTGGGGTCACCGAGGTCACGTAGCCGGGCTTGTCGGGCCTGCATGGCAATGATCCCGGCCCGTGAGTGGCCCGGCATGTCAAACATCTCCACTACCTGGGACAGAATGAGGGAGTAAGTAAGACGAACAACGACAACTGGATTGACGGTTTATCTGTCCGAAGTGAATGAATACATCAGGCATCGGCAAACCAAAATATTTATTTACGTGAACGAAAACAATAGCTAACCTGAGTATTACAAGTGTGAACTACTGTATGTTTGTATCATTATTTTGGAATAGTCCTTATAAGTACTGGGGGGCACGGGTGACCCAGTCGTCTAAGGCGCCGCGATTCGCTGTGCAGAGTTGCGTCCCTTGGGCACGCCAGAAACCTATGATTGTGAGTTCGAATCCCGGTTCGCCCCGATTATGTTTCTAGGTTTGTCAGCACCATCCCCGTGCTCGTGGGTTTCACCGAAGTGATAAACGTCTGAGACCTGCATCACTTCGGGCTTTCCTCCCACATTAAGCTGACACGCCACGATATAACTGGAATACTGTTAAAAGCGGCGTTAAACCCAACTCACTCACTCACTCACTATAAGTACGGGTTTGTTTTATATTCAGGTCGCCGTCGTATTGCAGAACTATTGTACTCTTATCATCAGTGAGTTTCAGTGATCCATTTATAAGATTGATGGTTCTTCGTGTGTACAGTTACGGTAAACTACGGTTATAACGAATTTAAAGGGGCCACTAATTTGGTTCGTAATAACCGTAGATCGTTATAATCATATATACAGCCTATATACAACAAATGGCCTGGACTAAGAAAAATGTGTGTTATATTGGTCAGTGCGTTATAACAGTTTTCGTTTATTGTATTTGTTTAACATGCATAAACGAAAAAATATAATTAAGATCAAAGTACGCGTGTGTAACGTGTGGACGCGCTGATAACATCGAAATATCGGCTACCCACCTCGATGTGCCTCTCTGCAGCATATCTGATAATTTCTCTGTAGTCCTCTACGGTATAGAACCCGGAACCGGAAGTTGAGTTGTCTCCCCCTGATCCCAGCTGAGGGAGAAGGCAGTTTGTCTCTGTGAGGTCATGACAACGCCTCCCAGCTACCTGCAGGTGCACGAATACTGTGACCAATGTGACCTGATATATCCCACATATATAGCTGAAGTTTGCAAATGGGGTATTCTGTGTCATTCATGTTGATATTTGAACTAATTGGTCGTAATATGCCTCTGTTCATAATGTTAACCACCATGCGCCTCACAGGCAGCTTGGGTTGTATACTCCCCAGGGAGCGGAGAAAGAAAATCTTGTCACTCTGAGCTACTGCCAGGATTGTTAACGTAGTGTCATGAGCATTTACTTGGTGAACGGAATCTGGCGCACTATCAACTCAATCATTATGATATGGTAAACACGGTTCGTAGATTGAGGTAATGTTAGCAATATGAACATCTCTCATGAAACTATGTTGATATTGACACACATACATCCATTTACAAACTAGATAAAGTTTCGACGATATCCAAACCATTACAACCAGTATCGGTGTACAACCCTAGATTTAGCCAGAAACGAACCGACTGAACACATCGAGGGACGGTGAAGGTATTTGTTTCAACAATGCGACAGTCTTTCCTTAAAACAACAGAGAGAAACGTGTCAATGGTCAAAGGTCAGGAATGTAGAAAAAACAATAGGCAATCAATTCTGAGCATTTTAGGGGATACAGGGGATTAAATTTGCCCCCTTTTCTTCAGAAAGTAGTTCGTGTTTATACTCATTCAGCCTGGTGAGGTCTGGAAGCCCCGGTATCTATAGGCGCCATCCTTCCTCACTCCCCACTCACTCACTCACTCACCCTGGTGAGGTCTGGAAGCCCCGGTATCCCAAGGCGCCACCACCCCACCCCACCCTCCCCCAAACCACCACCCCACCCAACCACCACCACCACCCTCCTCACTCACCCTGGTGAGGTCTGGGAGCCCTGGTATCTCCAGGCGCCACCCCTCGTCGTCACCCAGGTGGAACAGGAACCGATTCATCTTGTAAGCCGCCATTACGTTCATCACTTTCATCACTTCCTCCTTAGACCGGAAGTTACGTGCTACTTCCATCAGTAAGCCTCTAAATTAACAAAGTCTGTCCGTTAAAACATAACTAGACATTCCAATGTGATCAGTTGATCTGCGCAAATTAATTTAAACAATTAAGGCAGCTCAGAGTCCATCCATTCAGAACTGCAAGTAGTTTGAGGGTACGGGTAATCTGCGGTCCAGGGTGCCGTTGTACAAAACACCCATAGCGCTACGACTGTCATAAGTCTATGTTAAGGTATGAGTGTTACGATCACCGTAGCGCTAAGATCACTTTGTACAACGGCACCCTGAACGCAGCCAGATCCTTACAGGAATAACTGCCCCAGGGCCAGCTCCACAAAGTGATCTTAGCGCAAAGTCGATCGTAACTCCCATTCTTTAACACTGACTTACGACAACCGTAGCGCTAAGATCGCTTTTTGGAGCGGGGCCCAGGAACCATAGGAATTAATCTGAGATTCACTCGTATGACGGTCTGCTGGTCATACGACCTGGATCATCCACAGAAACTGATGCTACTGGTATACTATTCAATGTGGGGCTGAACTGACTTTATTTTCTCACTCACTATAATTGTTGTCCGTCATTCTTTACTTAGCTGTATCATCAATACAAATTTCACATTTGTACAATCTCATTAAATTCATATCTAAGTTCTCGGTTCCGCTAAACAAAGATCTGAGGACATCACATTACGGATCACGTCAGAACGACCTTTCGCGAACTTTGACCGACCACTGAAACGAATAACAAGTAGTCGATATCAGCCAATGAGAAAGCAGCTTTCACTAGCTTTACGGCACTCGTTTCAACCTGGCGACTTCCTTTTCAGACTACGTTTGAAAAATATGTTCACACATTCCGGAATGTCTAATATATTGTAGCGATTGTATGGCAGTGCTTCCCACGTACTGTGTAACGCCTCCTCCGTTTAAATGTTTATCCCACGGAAGCGAGAGATAGACGATAATTTTGACCGAGTCAGTCGTACGGGCCGTAACTGTCGTTCGAATACCCCGTGTTAACATTTTTGAGGTTGCATGATTAGAAAACACATTTTTCATGATCTGGTAAGCAACGCATTGATTGGTCGGATGAAAGGTCATACTGACGTGACCCCTAATGGGGTGTCCTCAGATCTTTGTTTAGCGGTAGCGGAAACTAAGATCTCATTTTAATTAGACTGACATTTGTAATACGGTTGATAAATATGAAACATTTCTTCATCTGTTTCCCTTCCCCAGGACCTGCAAGATCCTAACAGAAATAACTGGGTCAGGATCCATAGTATCTGTCGGCTCATGCGACCTTCATTCACCTCAATACACTTATTCCATTTGTCCTTCATCCTGGAAAGGGGGCACGGGTGGCCCAGTCATCTAAGGCGCCGCGATTCGCTGTGCAGAGTTGCGTCCCTTGGGCTCGCCAGAAACCTATGATTCTGGGTTCGAATCCGGATTCGCCCCGATTGTGTTTCTAGGTTTGTCAGCACCATACCCGAGTGGTAAACGTCTGAGGCCTGCATCACTTCGGGCTTTCCTCCAAAATTAAGATGACACGCCGCGATATAACTGGAATACTGTTAAAAGCGGCGTTAAACCCAACTCAGTCACTCACTCATCCTGGAAGCGTCTTCCACGTAGGGCAGATTTCATTTGACGTAACAGGAAATAGTCACTGGGGGTTAAGTCTGGGCTGTAGGGTGGGGGATTTAACTGTACAGCCCAGACTTAACCCCCAGTGACTATTTCCTGTTCCGGCAAATGAAATCTGCCCCACGTGGAAGACGCTTCCAGGATGACGAGGACATAAAGGCTGCCACAGAGGCGTAGTTAGAGGGCCAATCTGCGGATTTCTATAAAAGTGGTATTAAAAGCTTGAAGGACAAATGGAAAATGTGTATTGAGGTGAATGAAGATTAAATTAAAAATTAAAAGTGCAAAAGATATTTTGCGACTTGGTCTCATATTGAAGTTGCAAAACTTATTGAACACCCCTCGTACTATTCATTGTGACGCGGGGCGGTCGGGTAGCCTAGTGGTTAAAGCGTTCGCTCGTCACGCCGAAGACCCGAGTTCGATTCCCGACATGGGTGCAATGTGTGAAGCCCATTTCTGGTGTCCCCCCGCCGTGATATTGCTGGAATATTGCTAACAGCGGCGTAAAACCATACTCACTCACTCATTGTGGCGCTGAACTGACTTCACTCACTATAATTGTTGTCCATCATAATTCTATTCTTATCCACATCATGAAGACATTGTTCACATTTGTAAAACGGTTTATAATTATCACACGTTTCTGTGTACGTAATACCCGTGTACCTGTATTCAAGTCTGGGAGCATCCTTCACTGTTGCTCTCGGCACCTCTCCCGTGAACCCCCCGGTCCCATCTCGACACAAGCTCAGCAAACTCTGCACCCCATAGAAAGCACCTGCAGGGTCACGTGACACTATCGTCACCACCTGTCTCCCCGGATCCACAGTCAGTGTGTATGCTTCTCGTGACGAGGTCACCTGGCCGTTCACCCTCACATCCGGGTTCCCGCGTCTGAGCTCTATGACACGTGACGCTAGACGGTTCCAGGACAATGTCACTGAGCTCATGTTCAGGGTGGCTGCACGGAAGAACAATAAAGGATACAGTTAGGATCGCATCTGACGAACCCTGATTGTTTTTGTACTGTCTAAATAAAGAACCTCTACCCTCCCGTGAAACGTGCGCGGTCCTACCTAGCAGGACCTCTGCTTCTTTGCTGAACTCTACCTTATATGAATTCCTTGTGACAGAAGTACCGTCTTGCCTGAAAAGTTTGCCCGTTTCTTGTAAGTTCTATGTCCCGGACCACCACCGTGGTCTTGTGGATAGAGCGTCTGTCCACAGACCAAAGGCCGGTGATCCGATCCCCTCCCACGCCATACAGAAAGACGTTAAAAGATGGTACTTTTTGTTTCCCTGCCTGCACGTCACTATATAAGTGCAATTATCCCGACCGCAAAGTTCAACGCTAAGGGCGGTCGGGTAGCCTAGTGGTTAAAGAGTTCGCTCGTCACGCCGAAGACCCGGGTTCGATTCCCGACATGGGTACAATGTGTGAAGCCCATTTCTGGTGTCCCCCGCCGTGATATGGCTGGAATATTGCTAAAAGCGGCGTAAAACCATACTCACTCACTCACTCACTCAACGCTATTTCTCAACTCCCATACCTAACAGGGGTTGTATATCTTTCTTGACAAGCATACATATATACTTCTGTGTACTGTGCATGATTAATGAATAATGATTATTATCAGAAATGTCTCGTGCCGTCAATAATGATTCTTACCTACAAGAAACTGCGCCTCTCTGATGAAGGTGGTGTCTGCAGCCACACCCCAGCAGCACTCGGACAGCAACACGCTGGAACTGTTGTCTATCTGTAGCAGGGATACAAACACCACTCGCCTGGTTAGACTGCATATGTTTATGTGACTCCTACAACACTAACATCTCCAGCTACTGAACACACATACACACACCACTCGCCTGGTTAGACTGCATATGTTTATGTGACTCCTACAACACTAACAACTCCAGCTACTGAACACACATACACACACCACTCGCCTGGTTAGACTGCATATGTTTATGTGACTCCTACAACACTAACAACTCCAGCTACTGAACACACATACACACACCACTCGCCTGGTTAGACTGCATATGTTTATGTGACTCCTACAACACTAACAACTCCAGCTACTGGACACACACACACACCCCCCAGCAGCACTCGGACAGCAGCACGCTGGAACTGTTGTCTATCTGTAGCAGGGATACAAACACCACTCGCCTGGTTAGACTGCATATGTTTATGTGACTCCTACAACACTAACATCTCCAGCTACTGAACACACACACACACAGAAGGCGCGCACATACACACACACAGGGAGTGTGCGCGCACACACACACATACACATAGTACACATACACAGTACACATACACGAGACACCCATTACCGAAGTACATACACAATACACACACAGTACACATACATAGTACACACATAACACACACAGTACACACACACTCACACAGTACACACACTGACAAACACACACATACGCACACAATACACACACAAACACACTTCTACACACACACTAACACACATACACATACAAACACACACAGTACACACACAGTACACACACACACACAACACACAACACACACACAACACACACACACACAACACACACAACACAACACACACACACACACACACAAAAACACACAGGACACTACGATTCATTGTCAGTACCTGTGTTTCCAGTGGTGTTGGGAGAATAAGTCCCCCTGGTCCTCCGAGGTCCTCAGTCAGCTGGTTCACGGTAAAGCGGTCCTCCAGGCTCCAAGGGTTGTACCTGGGTACATAACACAAACAGAGCACTTATGGAGATTCCTTCATATTTTCAATGGCACCAAATCAGGAATCACATTTCATCACCAGTAGCAGCAGTAGCAAAGAGGCCATGAATGCCTTTTTCCCTCATGCCAATTATAACGAATTACCAGTCTCCCTGGTACCCATATACTGCGTGAATGTGTTTATGAGTATATGGTTGCACTACATTTCGCTGTGCAGATTTGCGCCCTTTGTCGTGCCAGGATCCGCGAAATATCAACATCAAGCTGGCATGTCATTATCCAACTGAAATACTGTTCAAAGCGAACGCCAACTTTGTGAGTTGAGTTGAGTTGGGTTTTACGCCGCTTTTAACAATATTCCAGTTATATCGCGGCGTGTCAGCCTAATGTGGGAGGAAAGCCCGAAGTGATGCAGATCTCAGACGTTTACCACTTCGGTGAAACCCACGAGCACGGGTATGGTGCTGACAAACCTAGAAACATAATCGGGGCGAACCGGGATTCGAACCCACAATCATGGGTTTCTGGCGTGCCCAAGGGACGCCGACTCAAAAGACCCCCAACCTTATTAAAATCAGATCTTAGTTCTCGCTACCGCTAAACAAAGAACTGAGGACATCCCATTAAGGGTCACGTCAGACCGACCTTGCGCGATTTTTTACCGACCAATGGAAGGACTGACAAGAAGTCGACATTAGCCAATCAGAAGGCAGCTTTTCGTGCTTTACGGCACTAATTTCAAATTGGCGACTACGCTTCGAAACATATTTTGACAAATTCTCGATTAAAAAATTGAAACCTGATCAAAAGAACATTCTGGAATGGCAAATATATGGTCTAGATTGTATGGATTCAGTCGTTAAACCCGTAACTATCGTTTGGAATACGCCGTAGATAATGATCTGGTAAGCGACGCTCTGATTGGTCGGATGAAAGGTCGTTCTGACGTTACCCCTAATGGGATGTCCTCAGATCTTTGTTTAGCGGTAGCGAGAAATAAGATCTGATTTTAATGAGATTGAAAAGACCCCCCAATTTCTATTTGAAAATAAGAATATTAAACGTCAAGGGATAATGTCAAAATGCATTATTCTAACCGAACATACTAAAACCCACTATCCAGGGCTACCCGTATCCGCCATATCGGTGTGTTATGTATAGGTTGTCAATGTCGTCGCTCGGGGGACGTCTTCAGCAATCCATGTTTATCGAAAGAGGCGCAGACGTAATCAAGCCGTCAGGCTCGCCGCCCTTGTTGTTGCATGGCATCGAATCCCAGTTGTGTATATCGATGCTCATGATATCAATCACTGGACTGTCTGGCTTACAGACTCGATTATTTACAGACCGCCGTCACATAGCTGGAATATTGCTGGGTGCGGCGTTAAACAACAAATAAATAGTAAAACATGTCGTACCTGTCGTCAATGCCGGTCTTCCACTGCCTCCCATTAGTAAAGGGCCCCAGAAAATACAGCTCCTCCCCTTTCGTGGCGTTCAACGTCCGTGGAGACATCCCCTCCGCCGTCACGTACCAGTTGGGCAAGACGTGATTCCTGGCGGCCAGCGACATCCCTACAACCAGCCTGACAACTCGAGGCTCGTTCGGCCGCAGCGCTCGAAATCCAGGAACAGGCTGGAACTTGAACAGTGAGCCTTTAACATGAGTGAACCTTAGCTTGTGATCCTGCAGGATATATCCTTGGGGGTTGTGCACGAGGTTAGGCGGGAAGAGCTGCCCGAAACTAAACATGTATATCTCCCAGTTGCCGGCCACGATGTCAGAGTCGTTGGTGTTGGTGAGGGTCATGTCGACGAGGCTGCGATCAGGCTGGGCCGTGTTGTCTATGACGGTGAGGTTTACTTGCAGGTACTCCGCGATCATCTCGATGGTGTTGAGGGTGACGATGGGGAGGGTGGGTGCCGGGTGGGGGGTGAAGGGTACACCCCTGCTGAACCGCCGACTGTCGTGGGACCTGGAAGGGGAATAATAATAATAATAATAATAGACATCATCATCATCATCATCATCATCATCATTATCATCATCGTCACAATAATAAAAAGAGGAAGAAGGAGAAGAAGTTATAAATCAATCCGATAAACTTGGTATCACGTTCCCATAAAATTATGTTCTTTCAGGCTCCATTCATTAACGCGTGCCTTTTTTTTCGAAAAAAAGCCAACCAATGCTTCCAATATTCGTGGATAGGGGTTTCCCAATGTTGGGGGAGTGGGTACCCAATGATAGGGGGTTTCAAAATGTGTCTCCCAAACATGGCGACAAAGAGGGCTGCAAGTCATTTTGAACTATATGATAAATGGGGCGGCTCACTCAAGGAGTGTATTCATGCGCGATATCTAAAGCTACTCCAATGAGTGAACGCATAACTTAAACATATACTATCTAATGAATGACATGGTATGATAAAGAGATTGTTACCCTCGTGTGTTTCGTATCGTAAATGGCACTTGTTAGAAAATGAAACTAATATGTGTAATATGCTCTCCAAGGGCTGACACGGCACAATGTTTAACATAACACAATGTTTACTCCTGATATATGATATTTATATCGAAACACATTCGGCTAACCATCTCCATTTATAGTTGGTCCATACAAAATGTAATGGAGGTCTGAAAGAGTACCTCAAAGTGCAGGAGCATTATACACTTTTTATCCCTAAAAATTGATATTTATATTCGGAAACAACAATGCAAAGCTTTATTATATAATTCAGTGTGAAAGAGTTTTCTGAAGTTGAGAAAAGTGACATTTTCTTGTGCTTACAGTGAACATAAGACTGGATTTTTCACTGTAGTGAAAATGGAACTTTGATAAACAATTGTCATACAAGAGTTATCTCCCCTCAAGTTGTCTCCCTTTGTCGTAAGTGTCCAGCTCCTACACAAACTGTTGACGTCCTTTTTACGTTAGCTCCACACTGACAAAATACAAATACTGATAATATCGCTTCTTGCTGTTTTGTTATTCTCTTGAAAATGTTTCATTATAAACTGTAAATTTCTCATTTAACTCGTCATTCGAGACTTTCGTTTCACAATGCGCCATTTTTGTTACTTGACAGCGGTCTCGTGGTTTTCAAGAAACTGTTTTTGTTAAAGTTGATTTTGTATAGAATCGTTTCTAAATGTATGATAAAGAATTTTCGTGACCGTAAATATTTTTTGATGCTTTTGTTTGTATTTTAAAATTTCGCAAACTCGAAACTACTTTTTAAGTCGCAAATACCAGGAGTGTTGGGTAGGACGAACTCACGTTTCTAGGTTTTACATTTGTAATGAAATATTTAATTTTCTGGAAGACAACTACACGAAAGGTATATAATAAATAGGATTGTCCATGTGTCCAGTGAAGTGTTGTGGTTCTTTTTGTAAAATTTAGAATTTCTATCCTTTTTTAGTTTTACTTTTCTCGGGTTTACAACCGAGCGTATATCCGTGGGAGTCATGTGACTTCAAAACAAAACAACGTCATGGTTAGAACACATTGTTTTGTTTGTTTTGTCTGTTGTTTAACGCCGCACTCAGCAATATTCCAGCTATATGACGGCGGTCCACAAATAATCAAGTCTGTACCAGACAATCCAGTGATTGACATCATGAGCATCGATCCACGCAACTGGGATACGATGACAGGCATCAACCAAGTCAGCGACCCTGACCACCCGATACTGCAGTCGCCTTTTACGACAAGCATAGTGGCAATTTACGGCAAGCATGGGTTGCTGAAGACCTATTCTACCCCGGATCTTCACGGGTCTGTTAAAACACTGCTCAGTCAAGAACACAGTAGTGTTGACCCGCTACACTCCAGACTGAAGGGCCATACATTGTACTCCAATGTTCATTCAGCAGCCAACATAGTCTCACTTCAGGGCCACACAGCTTTCACTACCTTGATCTGAGGAACAATGTCTGGTTGTCTCTAATCTCCATGTCACGTGGCACGTCCTGCCAGCGATCTGTGTCACGTGACCGGAACTGGACGGGCATGCCGGGATACACGTTGTTTGTTACAAGTCGGGTCCCTTCCATTCTGGAAAGAAACAATCACCAAACCTTCAAATCTACATTGCTTTAATTGTACGTCGTTTGTGGAAGATGGAGGGGAAGACCTGCTTCCGTGTACACAACTGTGGGATGATGACTTCTCGGGGATCTCTGTTCCAACCTCAGTATGGAGGTGAGGTGAGGTGAGGTGAGGTGTGGTGATTTGAGGTGAGGTGAGGTGAGGTGAGGTGAGGTGAGGTGAGGTGAGGTGAGGTGAGGTGAGGTGAGGTGAATTGAATTGAGGTGAGGTGAGGTGAGGTGAGGTGAGGTGAGGTGAGGTGAAGTGAGTTGAGGTGAGTGAGGTGAGGTGAGGTGAGGTGGGGCGGGGCGAGGCGAGGTGAGGTGAGGTGAGGTAAGGTGAGGTGGGGTGGGGTGAGGTGAGGTGAGGTGAATTGAAGTGAGGTGGGGTGAGGTGAGGTGAGATGAGGTGACGTGAGTTGAAGAGAGGTGAGGTGAGTTGAGGTGAAGTGGGGTGGGTCTGGGTAAGGTGAGGTGAGGTGAGGTGGGGTGGGGTCGGATGAGGTGAGGTGAATTGAGGTGAGGTGAGGTGAAGAGAGGTGAGGTGAGGTGAGGTGAGGTGAGATGAGGTGAGGTGAGGTGAGGTGAGGTGAGGTGAGGCGGGGCGAGGCGAGGTGAGGTGAGGCGAGGTGAAATTGGGTTTAACGTTGCGTGTAAGCTTATTGCATGTGTGAGTGTGTGGTTGCATGTACTAGGCCGGATTATTGCCGGTTTTATAGTACTCGTCTAGAAAGATACCATGTCGCAGCTGAACATGAATACCCCACTCACAAACATTATACTGATTCCGAGCAGACGATTCCTTTTTTAATGTCGGGCGCAAGGCAGGGTAACAGCAACTCCCGACATTTGGTAAGACGCGGCCGGGGATCGAACCACCTTCCTTCCGCTTTCCAGGCAGACGTTCTATCCAGTGGACCACGGAGACGGTCAGTACAGCTACATGTGACTCCTAAAGGGAGTCAGATTCCATTATAAATGACCCATAAGTCTGTCAACACTAACCGAGCACCGGGCGGAGGAATTCTGTACTGAATGCCAGCCTGGTCCATCCGGCGTATTTCCCTGTGTCCTACCGCGGAGATGAAAGAGTTCCAGTCCTTGGTCTCTTGCAGGAGGCGCTGTGGTCCACTCGGCAGATGTTCCCATGGTGCCTCGTGCCAAGCACGTTCTGCCAGAGCCAGTAGACGGGGATAGATCATGTAGTCCATCTGGTCAGCTGTCCGAACTGTCTCCGTCCACAGGTGCCCCTGCATCCCTATAGAACACAAGTATACAGCCAGATGTAGACAGATGCCCCTGCATCCCTATAGAACACAAGTATACAGCCAGATGTAGACAGGTGTCCCTGCATCCCTATAGAACACAAGTATACAGCCAGATGTAGACAGGTGTCCCTGCATCCCTATAGAACACAAGTATACAGCCAGATGTAGACAGGTGCCCCATCATCCCTATAGAACACAAGTATGCAGCCAGATGTAGACAGGTGTCCCTCCATCCCTATAGAACACAAGTATACAGCCAGATGTGGACAGGTGCCCCTCTATCCCTATAGAACACAAGTATACAGCCAGATGTGGACAGGTGCCCCTCTATCCCTATAGAACACAAGTATACAGCCAGATGTAGACAGGTGCCCCTCTATCTCTACAGAACACAAGTATACAGCCAGATGTAGACAGATGTCCCTCTATCCCTATAGAACACAAGTATACAGCCAGATGTAGACAGGTGCCCCACCATCCCTATAGAACACAAGTATACAGCCAGATGTAGACAGGTGTCCCACTATCCCTACAGAACACAAGTATACAGCCAGATGTAGACAGGTGCCCCTCTATCCCTATAAAACACACGTATACAGCCAGATGTAGACAGGTGCCCCTCTATCCCTATACAACACAAGTATACAGCCAGATGTAGACAGGTGCCCCTGCATCCCTATAGAACACAAGTATACAGCCAGATGTAGACAGGTGTCCCTCTATCCCTATAGAACACAAGTATACAGCCAGATGTAGGCAGGTGCCCCTCTATCCCTACAGAACACAAGCATACAGCCAGATGTAGACAGGTGCCCCACCATCCCTATAGAACACAAGTATACAGCCAGATGTAGACAGGTGCCCCTCTATTCCCTATAGAACACAAGTATACAGCCAGATGTAGACAGGTGTCCCTCTATTCCCTATAGAACACAAGTATACAGCCAGATGTAGACAGGTGTCCCTCTATCCCTATAGAACACAAGTATACAGCCAGATGTAGACAGGTGCCCCTCTATCTCTATAGAACACAAGTATACAGCCAGATGTAGACAGGTGTCCCTTCTTTCCCTATAGAACACAAGTATACAGCCAAATGTAGACAGGTGCCCCTGCATCCCTATAGAACACAAGTATACAGCCAGATGTAGACAGATGCCCCTCTATCCCTATAGAACACAAGTATACAGCCAGATGTAGACAGGTGCCCCTGTATCCCTATAAAACACACGTATACAGCCAGATGTAGACAGGTGCCCCTCTATCTCTATAGAACACAAGTATACAGCCAGATGTAGACAGATGCCCCACCATCCCTATAGAACACAAGTATACAGCCAGATGTAGACAGGTGCCCCTGTATCCCTATAAAACACACGTATACAGCCAGATGTAGACAGGTGCCCCTGCATCCCCATAGAACACAAGTATACAGCCAGATGTAGACAGATGCCCCTCTATCCCCACAGAACACAAGTATACAGCCAGATGTAGACAGGTGCCCCTCTATCCCTATAGAACACAAGTATACAGCCAGATGTAGACAGGTGTCCCTCTATCCCTATAGAACACAAGTATACAGCCAGATGTAGACAGGTGCCCCTTCATCCCTATAGAACACAAGTATACAGCCAGATGTAGACAGGTGTCCCTTCTTTCCCTATAGAACACAAGTATACAGCCAAATGTAGACAGGTGCCCCTGCATCCCTATAGAACACAAGTATACAGCCAGATGTAGACAGATGCCCCTCTATCCCTATAGAACACAAGTATACAGCCAGATGTAGACAGATGCCCCTCTATCCCTATAGAACACAAGTATACAGCCAGATGTAGACAGATGCCCCTCTATCCCCACAGAACACAAGTATACAGCCAGATGTAGACAGGTGCCCCTCTATCCCTATAGAACACAAGTATACAGCCAGATGTAGACAGGTGTCCCTCTATCCCTATAGAACACAAGTATACAGCCAGATGTAGACAGGTGCCCCTTCATCCCTATAGAACACAAGTATACAGCCAGATGTAGACAGGTGTCCCTCTATCCCTATAGAACACAAGTATACAGCCAGATGTAGGCAGGTGCCCCTCTATTCCCTATAGAACACAAGTATACAGCCAGATGTAGACAGGAGCCCTCTATCCCTATAGAACACAAGTATACAGCAAGATGTAGACAGGTGTCCCTCTATCCCTATAGAACACAAGTATACAGCCAGATGTAGACAGGTGTCCCTCTATCCCTATAGAACACAAGTATACAGCAAGATGTAGACAGGTGCCCCTCTATCCCTATAGAACACAAGTATACAGCCAGATGTAGACAGGTGTCCCTCTATCCCTATAGAACACAAGTATACAGCCAGATGTAGACAGGTGCCCCTTCATCCCTATAGAACACAAGTATACAGCCAGATGTAGACAGGTGTCCCTTCTTTCCCTATAGAACACAAGTATACAGCCAAATGTAGACAGGTGCCCCTGCATCCCTATAGAACACAAGTATACAGCCAGATGTAGACAGATTCCCCACCATCCCTATAGAACACAAGTATACAGCCAGATGTAGACAGGTGCCCCACCATCCCTATAGAACACAAGTATACAGCCAGATGTAGACAGGTGCCCCTCTATTCCCTATAGAACACAAGTATACAGCCAGATGTAGACAGGTGTCCCTCTATTCCCTATAGAACACAAGTATACAGCCAGATGTAGACAGGTGTCCCTCTATCCCTATAGAACACAAGTATACAGCAAGATGTAGACAGGTGCCCCTCTATCTCTATAGAACACAAGTATACAGCCAGATGTAGACAGGTGTCCCTTCTTTCCCTATAGAACACAAGTATACAGCCAAATGTAGACAGGTGCCCCTGCATCCCTATAGAACACAAGTATACAGCCAGATGTAGACAGATGCCCCTCTATCCCTATAGAACACAAGTATACAGCCAGATGTAGACAGGTGCCCCTGTATCCCTATAAAACACACGTATACAGCCAGATGTAGACAGGTGCCCATCTATCTCTATAGAACACAAGTATACAGCCAGATGTAGACAGATGCTCAACCATCCCTATAGAACACAAGTATACATCCAGATGTAGACAGGTGCCCCTGTATCCCTATAAAACACACGTATACAGCCAGATGTAGACAGGTGCCCCTGCATCCCCATAGAACACAAGTATACAGCCAGATGTAGACAGATGCCCCTCTATCCCCACAGAACACAAGTATACAGCCAGATGTAGACAGGTGTCCCTCTATCCCTATACAACACAAGTATACAGCCAGATGTAGACAGGTGCCCTCTATCCCTATAGAACACAAGTATTACAATGTTTGTAGAACAGTGATTTGGAGTGTTGAGAAAAGTATCCTCAATAGGAAAGCATATGCACTGACTACTGAGGCTCAACTGAAGTCGTTTTACGTGCAATCCCAAATATTATAGCAGTGTGGTCTCGTTGATACCTATAACATTTTCTGGACTCGTCAGCTGAACACAGTGGCTGCCGTCATCCCCACACACGTCCGCAGTCGAGAGTGGCTCCCCGGAGCGGCCCCAGTCGATGTTGGAATACAGATTCAAGGGAGAGAAGTCGAACACTTTCCGGGTGTCTGTGAACCGGGTAGCCCAGATGAGACCTCGTTCTTCCGGGTCAGCTTCATACGGGTGGTCGAAGTACAGATGGGTAGCCTGACTCATGATGACCTGTGGTGCAAGGTGAAGGACGAAAGGTCATATTTATTTTGGGGTGGGGTCAACCGTAAAGCAGCTGATCTGCTGACAGAAACTTTTCAGGTTTGATTGGTGCTTCCATGTGGATGAGTGAGTGAGTTGGATTTTACGCCGCTATTAACAGTGTTCCAGGTATATCGCGGCGTGTCAGCTTAATGTGGGAGGAAAACCTGAAGTGATAAAGGTCTCAGACGTTTACCACTTCGGTGAAACCCACAAGCACGGGTATGGTGCTGACAAACCTAGAAACATAATCGGGGCGAACCGGGATTCGAACCCACAATCATAGGTTTCTGTCGTGCCCACGGGACGCAACTCTGCACAGCGAATCGCGGCGCCTAAGACGACAGGGCCACCCGTGCCCCCCGATTGGTGCTTCCAAGGACAACATTCCATTTAAACATTGATATGTTCCAGCACATTTTATTCCAGCTATATGGCAGCGGTCTGTAAATAATCGAGTCTGGACCCGCCTATCAAGTGATTGATATTGTGAAAAACAATCCAGGCAATTGGGATACGATGACATTCATTAATCAAGCCAGCGAGCCGGAGAACGCGATCCTGTTAGTCGCCTTCTTACGACAACACAAGTAATTAAAATAGTAACATACAATGAACTATGCATACTATGTGGGTGTAAATGAATCTGATTGTACCTTGTCTTTAATGTGCATACTTGTGTGAAAAGAAAATACAGTGAAACTGTTTACCTTGTCGCCGCGACCTACTATACAGAGTTGCGTCCCTTACTCGTTCCAGAATCCGGTGAAGATGGTTTCTATTCATAATTGCATGTTTATTATCCTTTGTGTCCCACTACCAAACGTGTGCTCGTGGCGTTCACGTGTTTTTCCTCCAGATGAGGCTAACACGCCACAATACAACAGACATGCAAATCAAATCGGTGCAAACCCACTCATAAGAAATATTCATCTCAAATTGAAACAGGTACGATGACACGCATTAAGCCAAGTAACCGAACTTAACCACCCGATCCTCATAGGCGCCTCACACGTCAAGGATAGGTTGCTGAGCTTGATCTGGAACCCCAGTGGGCCCATCCTTTAATAGATACGTCACATTGGAAATTGCAACTATGAGATTCTCCAAAATCCCTTTACCAACACAAAAGTCTGCAACTTTATTGTAACACCACAGTTCAAATTAGGCGTAGCCCACAAGAGAAAAAGACATATTTCTTGGACTTATGCTGTCGTAGATTTAATTCTAGGCTATATGGTTTGAATGACCTTGACCTTCATGCAAAATAGCTTGTCACTGTTTTACGACCTTGTATCGTCATTGCTGTTTTACATCCAAAGTAGGTATTTGGTTTTTCTTTTCTTCTCAGGTAGCAGTAAGTGATTTGGGGCTGCAAATACATTTTGCATAATTTATTTTCAGCCTAATTAAAATGAAAGAGTTTGGAAATTCAAACAAACCACATTTAATAGGAGCTAATTAATGTACCTTGAACCCAGCATTAGCCAGTCTGTAGGAGTTGTTGTAATGCCCCCACTGCCAGTGATTATTCCAGGGGTAGACGAACACATCCGGGGTCGCGAGTTCTCTCCTGTCGTGCAGCTTCCCATCATGCACCAGCCCGTCCTCCCAGCCTCCTAGTGACAAGTTCCGGGCAGCAGCTAACCGCGACACTCTGTTGGCGAAGTAGCGGGCGAGGCTGACGTTTGCTACGGGGTCCGACAGTCGAAGTCTCTGACACGAGATGGAATGGTTCCACGTTCGGCCCCAGACTTCATCACCTCCGAAGTGGAACACCCGCAGCGGGTTGACGTCTCGATGCATCTGCACCAGCTCGTTCAGCACGTGGTCCACAAAGCGGTAGGTGGACGGCACACACGGGTTGATGGCGTTGTTGTGGAACATCTCCTCCCGCGGGTTGCGGAGGCTGCTCCGCTCGTCTGTCAACAGGTAAGCCCTCCCTTCAGCCGCTCTCCTCTGTCTGGCGAGTCTCCGCTGTCTCACTTCCATGGATTTGATGGCAGCCCTGGAGTGGCCAGGCATGTCGAACTCGGGGATCACCTCGATATGGCGTTGTCTCGCAAACTGTAAAATCTCACGATAATCGGCGATGGTATAGAAACCGGAACCGGAAGTGCCTGTGTCAGGTCCTGAACCAATCTGTGGCAGGAGGCAAAGGTTCTCACTGAGGTCATGACATCTCCTTGACCCAAACTGCAAGTCAGAACAACCACACAATTTAAATATTACTCAAACTTTAAATGAATTAAAACACTCAAAGTTGCAGTGGTCAATGGACAGTCGGGGCGCTGGTATGGGCCAGTTGTTAAAGTATTCACTGGACATGTGAGAGGCATTAGTTTGGTCCACCATCATAAAGTTGCTTAAAAACTGAGACGATCACAGTTAATCCGTACCTTCGTACATTCGTTAAATATGTACAACGGAAGCTGAGACACATCGCATCATTCAAGTCTTTGAGAAGCATTTAGAAGTGATACCCATAAGGAAGAGAATTTATGGACGTCAACTTCTTTATTATGAAGAACACAACGTTTCGGAGTACATGCTTACTCCTTCATCAGGTGAATGAATGCCATGAGGCAGAGAGCATGTATGTACATGTAAGAACAACAAAAGTAATAAGACAACAAAAGGTAGAAGCTTAAACAATGGCATCTTCCCGAGGCAAGAGAGTTAACTGACTTTAAAAGTCCAGTTTCCACCCTTGCCGAACTAGGCTGGAATTACTGGGCTCGATCGTAGCGCCACCAGTGGCTATTACGAGTTATGTCCTTTCTATGCCTCTCCTATGGACCAATCAGATTCAACCTCTCGTATCACTTGCATTTGCTTCAAACAAAACGATGGCGCCCAGTCAAGACGATCTGATTGATAATCAAGATATATATTGTGATAAAACGAGTCTTACATCGCGAAGTGCATCAAATCACGTGAGCACCTTGATTAAAGCATGAAAAAAATTAGAAATTATCTGTTGACAACGAGTTAGCGGTGCACATGCTTTGCAAATCCTGCAGTCGACAGAAGCTGCATGACACTTTACGAACCGGATTTCGATTTCAGTGCGCGATTTTGATTGGACTATGCATAGACTCGTTAGTCCAGCCAAAATGTAACTCCATAATACCAGCCTAGTTCGGCAAGGGTGAAAACTGGACTTTTATAGTCAGTTAACTCCCTTGCATCGGGAAGATGAAACAAGGGAAGCCAACAGGTAATTAGCGCTGATAGGCGGTTAGCAAGAGACAATGGAAGCCAACACTTTCTACCTTTTATAGACAGACACTGTGAAAGCCTTGGCTACAATTGCAGCCTGAAAGGTCTGGAGGCTACGTACCCTTGTGAGGTCTGGCAGTCCAGGAATCTCCAGCCGCCAGCCCTGGTCGTCCGACAGATGGAAGTGGAACTTGTTTATCTTGTACACTGACATGGCTCCCAGAAGTCTCAGCACATCCTGTTTCGGAAGGAAGTTCCTTGAAACGTCCAAATGCATGCCTCTGTATTCAAATCGGGGAGCATCTGTTATTCTCATTTGGGGCACCACACGGCCACCATTCAAGAGCATCAGAAGGGAATGTATGCCATAGAAAACACCAGATGGTCCCTGGCCAGTGATTTCTACAGTATTGGTTGTCGGGTCCGCTGTTAGACGATACGCGTCGCTACTGTTGAAGAGCCTTCTGTCCGTGACGTCACTAAGATCGACCTGCCCCATCCTGAGTCTGATAGCATCATTTGTCTGGTTGATCTGTGTTGGGCGATTCATTCGTAACTGACCTGGGGTGAAGAGGCTTAGTGAATTCAAAATGTATAGTACCAAATATCCACTCAGCAAAGTATGTGTCAAGGGCGAAGAATTTTTTTATCTGTCCCTCAGTTGAAAAAATGAGGAAACAACTGATTTTTAATTATTTTATCAAACCTAAAATGGTTCTTATATTCACAAATGCTTGAATTGTACCCCAATTAGTTCAAGCGACCAGTGGCAGAATAAAGTTCAGTACAGTGATGAAGGAATGAGTGTTGGGTCAGTTGGGATATATTTAGAGAGGATTGCCCCACATACTGACAGATCATATAGCTGTGTTGTGTATCAAAAGGAACGTGAAACTTTCGTGCAGATGTTACTCAACAATTAGAAACTAATCCCAATTAGATCCCCGAAATACTGATAAAATCAGTTTACGTCGCAGAAACCACACACGCCATTATCACTCAGACCTAAAGTAAGCATCCCATTTGAGCACACTGTGAGCAGCACTGTCAGTTGGCCTCACAGAAGACCAATCTGCCAGAATATTAGCCGCCCAGTAGATCTACCTGCCAGAAAGTTGGCCTCCCAGTAGACCTACCTGCCAGAAAGTTGGCCTCCCAGCAGACCTACCTGCCAGAAAGTTAGCCTCCGAGTAGACCTACCTGCCAGAAAGTTGGCCTCCCAGTAGACCAACCTGCCAGAAAGTGAGCCTCCCAGTAGACCAATCTGCAAGAAGGTGTGCATCCCAGTAGATCTACCTGCCAGAACGTTAGCCTCCCAGTAGACCAACCTCCCAGAAAATTAGCCTCCCAGCAGACCTACCTCCCAGAAAGTTGGCCTCCCAGTAGACCTACCTGCCAGAAAGTTAGCCTCCCAGTAGACCAACCTGCCAGAAAGTTGGCCTCCCAGTAGACCTACCTGCCAGAAAGTTAGCCTCCCAGTAGACCAACCTGCCAGAAAGTTAGCCTCCCAGTAGACCAACCTCCCAGAAAATTAGCCTCCCAGCAGACCTACCTCCCAGAAAGTTGGCCTCCCAGTAGACCTACCTGCCAGAAAGTTAGCCTCCCAGTAGACCAACCTGCCAGAAAGTTAGCCTCCCAGTAAACTTACCTGCCAGAAAGTTAGCCTCCCAGTAGACCTACCTGCCAGAAAGTTGGCCTCCCAGTAGACCTACCTGCCAGAAAGTTAGCCTCCCAGTAGACCTACCTGCCAGAAAGTTGGCCTACCAGCAGACCTACCTCCCAGAAAGTTGGCCTCCCAGTAGACCTACCTGCCAGAAAGTTAGCCTCCAAGTAGACCAACCTGCAAGAAGGTGTGCATCCCAGTAGATCTACATGCCAGAACGTTAGCCTCCCAGTAGACCAACCTGCCAGAAAGTTAGCCTCCCAGCAGACCTACCTGCCAGAAAGTTAGCCCCCCAGTTGATCAACCTGCTAGAAAGTTCCCAGTGGACCAACCTGCCAGAAGGTAGCCTCCGAGTTGATCACACTGGTACGTTGGTCTCCCAGTTGTCCGGCTATCAGTAACTACACTCTACCACCAGTGTCACTCAGTAAACCTTCACTGCCCGACATTTAGCCTCCCATCTGCCCTCACTGTCAGCAACTGTACTCTCTGTCACCACTGTCGCTCAGCAGACCTACCTGCCAGAACGTTAGCCTTCTAGCAGACCTACCTGCCAGAAAGTTAGCCTCCTAGCAGACCTACCTGCCAGAATATTAGCCTCCTAGCAGACCTACCTGCCAGAAAGTTAGCCTCCCAGTTGACTTGACTGTCAGCAACTATGGCCCACTGGTCTGCTATGGTGAGATCCCTTGACGTGTCGAACACTGCTATGAGAGGCTGTGGAATCAGCCTCCTCCGCCACTCATCTCCCCCTGTCCCCCCTGTCCCCCCTGCCTCTCCCTCAGACCCTTGGTTCCGCTGGAACCTCTCCTGTGTCGTGGGCGGGTTGTACAGATCGTCCGTGTCTCGCTTCCACTGCTCCAGGGAGTTGTAGGTGCCCCCGTACTCCAGGCCCTCGTCGCGGGTGTTCGCGATCACCCTGGGGATCAGCCCTGTTGCAGGAATAGAATTTAGGTAAGTCATATGCACAGCTATGTATATTGAAATGTATATCTATCTATGCTTGATATCAAGTATCATCTTACCATTGGTTTTCAAAATACGATGACTTACTTACATCTATACTTTCAGTCTAGATTCCCAATCATGCAAATAGTGCCCTTTGAGAAACTGTGACATCGTCTCTGTGAAATTATACATTTATAGTGGGTGCTGAATGTCTTGAATCTGGGCAAATCTAGCTAAGGGCTTGACGATGTAGTACTTTTGATAATCAGGAGGGGGAGTGATGTTTGGTAGGGCAGGATATATTTTCGGGCAGGATATATTTTCAAGCACTGATCCTAAACAAACAGTTGATTTTCTCTTTCAGGGAGAGCCATAACATTGTATTTTATAACACATGCTTCATTTCAGAACACCCAGAATCTCCAGCGAACAGTTGAGATCAATGTAAAACCTGAGGCAAAATTGTTTACTTCCAGTATTTGTTGGGACAGATTATTTTCAAACCCCAGCCCTCTCGAAACATGAATTCGTCGGACACGAAGACTACACGACAAGCCCACAAAGACATCCATTTTAATGAGACTGCTGAATTAGGTTAATCAGATAAATATTTACCTTTGTGATCCGTCCAATGCCTTATTTATCTTTTATCATTTTATGTCTGATCACGAGATTTGTAAACTTCCTATGCATATGTAAACTCCATACATTTTCTGGATAATCATTAGCACTCTTTAGAAAGTTTGGTTTCATATATTTAAGTCAACCCTGACTGTCAGAAACGTTCACTCAGTTCACTCAAGTTCTTCATAATCAAACGCATGAAGAGTGATAGCAGAAATTCCCCTACCGTCGGCGGTGACGTACACGTTAGGCATGACGTCAGACCGGCTGGACATCCACTGTAGACCCAGGAATCGGATGATGCGGGACTCTCCTCGGGGGAGCGGGAAGAAGTTGCGGGTGGGGGAGAGGCGATAGAGGGTGTCATGGACCCTGTCCAGCCTCCACCCCTGCTCCGCGAGCCCCTCCCCCAGCTGACTGGGCGCTATCCCCCGGATCTTGTTGAAGAAGATGCTCCAGGGGCCCGTCTGGATCACAATGTTGCCCCGATTGGTCAGATTGAAGAGAAGCTGACATGTCGTGCCCTGGTCATGAAGGTTGTCAATAACCTGGAACCGGAAGTCGAGGAACCGAGCCAGGTAGTTGATTGCTGATTGGTCGATTTGACATGTCACGTGGCCCACTGAGGAATACAACAAAATTCAATGTATGGGGTGTCATTTCAGATGATAACATATGTCAATACATCAATCATGATTAAGAAAATAACGTTTCGCTGACGTTAGCTGGATGCTATGTCAGTAATTAAAATTTGAATAATGATAATAATAACAACAATAATAAACAATGTGTGAGTGTATTTTTACGCCGCTTTGAACAGTATTTGTGTTATACCATAGTGTCAGCGAGGTATCAAGCTATTTTCATAATGCAAATAATAATAACATCAACAATAATAATAATATGTGTGTAAGTTTAGTACTACGCCACTTTGAACAGTATTGAAGGTATACCCCGGCGTGCCAGCTAGTTTGGGGAGAAAAGCGTATCTTATGTCAGTCTTGGTAGAAACCCACGAGCATGAGTTAATAGCTGGCATAATATAAAAAATAATCAGTTCGAATTTTGGATTCGAACCCGCGTTCGTAGGTTTCTGGCACGGCGAGACGACTGGACCACCCCTGACCCAACAATAATAGTCAGCGAAAGGATGGAGCGACTCGATCATTTTATTACCGTCTTCGCCATGCTTGTGGTTTTGACACAGAGGTCCACCATGGTACGTCTCAGAATATGTAGAGGTCTTCATGGAAAATGATGAATATAAAATTCTTTGTAATAATTTACAGCCTCAGACGAATCCAAGCCAACAATGATGATCTCGTCCTTTTTGATAAATTCAATGAAAGTATTTATATCATTGAATTTTCTGTCCCCTTTGACACTAATGTGATTGTCGAGATTGAGGAAAAATGTGGCAAATATGCGGACCTCGCTTTAGAAATGTCACGCTTGCATCCCAAGTACCAAGTTGTCCGACTCCCCATTGTTCTCGGTGCCTTAGGTTTGGTACCTCCCAATCTGTTGGCTGAATTTGGGAGAGTACACGGGTTTGCTACCAGAAATATACAGCCCTTCTGACAGTCTGGGTAATGCAGAAGGCTGCAGTGTTGGGGAGTCTTCACATTCCCCGAAATGTTCTGGGTGGGTTGGACTAGGCAGCGCTTCCTGGGAGAAGTCCCATTCGCTGTCTGGGCTGCGTGTAGAGGGAGCAAGGGCCCTGAGCTGATGATGAGCCTAACTGTGCCAGGATCACCCAAACCCAAATGATAATGCGTATTGTTCTCGCACTCTTCCGAGGTTTATGATAACGCGGGGATAAACAAACACGTGCTGATAAATAATCATCCTCATGATGATCATGTGGCTGATGGGTACAAAAACAATTATCACGTGACGACCTTCGTCAAGCCCCTCGCCTCACCAGCGTGTCTGCCATGAGTTCGATTGACACATACCCTGGCCGAGTAATTAAATTACGTAATATTCACCAAAAGTATTTGCTATTTGCAAGCAGAGTCGGTTCTAATCAATCTACAAACAAGTACTGCATAGGGACTCGGCGACTCAGACGTGGAGACAATTTGAGATCTCGCTGTGTCATCGCGGACGTAACGTGAATATGCGTGACATTTGTTTGCCCGCGTGAGGTCAGCCTCGTCCTCAGAGGAGTGCGTGCTTGCGTTGGGTGCTCGCCGATCATGGGGGTCCATGTTTTCACCATGTTCGAGAAATTAACAACCCTGTGGGAACAACAATCTCAGATATTTCCCCGACTATTTCCTTTTGTTTCCGTGTAGTGGTAGGCAATCTCATTGAGGTGTCAGCACGGACATACAGACTGCATGCGAACTACCGCGCTCCACCTTGAAGGCACAGTCAGTGCAGCCGGCAGTAGAGATCATAGAGGGGATTCAGTGCACACAGAAGTAGATCTCAGGATATCGTAGAGGGGATTCAGTGCACACAGCAGTAGATCTCAGGATATCATAGAGGGGATTCAGTGCACACAGCAGTAGAGATCAGGATATCATAGAGGGGATTCAGTGCACACAGCAGTAGAGAGCAGGATATCATAGAGGGGATTCAGTGCAGACAGCAGTAGAGATCGGGATATCATAGAGGGGATTCAGTGCACATAGCAGTAGAGATCAGGATATCACAGAGGGGATTCAGTGCAGACAGCAGTAGAGAGCAGGATTTCATGGAGGGGATTCAGTGTAGACAGCAGTAGAGATCAGGATATCATAGAGGGGATTCAGTGTACACAGCAGTATATCTCAGGATTTCATAGAGGGGATTCAGTGCACACAGCAGTAGAGATCAGGATATCATAGAGGGGATTCAGTGCAGACAGCAGTAGAGATCAGGATATCATAGAGGGGATTCAGTGCACACAGCAGTAGAGATCAGGATATCATAGAGGGGATTCAGTGTAGACAGCAGTAGATCTCAGGATATCATAGAGGGGATTCAGTGCACACAGCAGTAGAGATCAGGATATCATAGAGGGGATTCAGTGCACACAGCAGTAGAGATCAGGATATCATAGAGGGGATTCAGTGCACACAGCAGTAGATCTCAGGATATCATAGAGGAGATTCATTGCACACAGCGGTAGAGATCAGGATATCATAGAGGGGATTCAGTGCAGACAGCAGTAGAGATCAGGATATCATAGAGGAGATTCATTGCACACAGCGGTAGATCTCAGGATATCATAGAGGAGATTCAGTGCACACATCAGTAGATCTCAGGATATCATAGAGGGGATTCAGTGCAGACAGCAGTAGAGATCAGGATATCATACAGGGGATTCAGTGCACACAGCAGTAGATCTCAGGATATCATAGAGGGGATTCAGTGCACCCAGCACAAGATCTCAGGATATAATAGAGGGGATTCAGTGCACACAGCAGTAGATCTCAGGATATCATACAGGGGATTCAGTGCACCCAGCACACGATCTAAGGATATCATACAGGGGATTCAGTGCACACAGCAGTAGATCTCAGGATATAATAGAGGGGATTCAGTGCAAACAGCAGTAGATCTCAGGATATGATAGAGGGGATTCAGTACACACAGCAGTAGATCTCAGGATATAATAGAGGGGATTCAGTGCAAACAGCAGTAGAGATCAGGATATCATAGAGGGGATTCAGTGCACACAGCAGTAGAGATCAGGATATCATACAGGGGATTCTGTGCACCCAGCACAAGATCTCAGAATATAATAGAGGGGATTCAGTGCACACAGCAGTAGATCTCAGGATATAATAGAGGGGATTCAGTGCAAACAGCAGTAGAGATCAGGATATCATAGAGGGGATTCAGTGCACACAGCAGTAGAGATCAGGATATCATAGAGGGGATTCAGTGCACACAGCGGTAGAGATCAGGATATCATAGAGGGGATTCAGTGCACACAGCAGTAGATCTCAGGATATCATAGAGGGGATTCAGTGCACACAGCAGTAGAGATCAGGATATCATAGAGGGGATTCTGTGCACACAGCAGTAGATCTCAGGATCTCATAGAGGGGATTCAGTGCACACAGCAGTAGATCTCAGGATATCATAGAGGGGATTCAGTGCACACAGCGGTAGAGATCAGGATATCATAGAGGGGATTCAGTGCACACAGCAGTAGATCTCAGGATATCATAGAGGGGATTCAGTGCAGACAGCAGTAGAGATCAGGATATCATAGAGGGGATTCAGTGCACACAGCAGTAGAGAGCAGGATATCATAGAGGGGATTCAGTGCACCCAGCAGTAGAGAGCAGGATATCATAGAGGGGATTCAGTGCACACAGCAGTAGAGATCAGGATATCATACAGGGGATTCAGTACACACAGCAGTAGAGATGAGGATATCATAGAGGGGATTCAGTGCACACAGCAGTAGAGATCAGGATATCATAGAGGGGATTCAGTGCACACAGCAGTAGAGATCAGGATATCATAGAGTGGATCCAGGGTACAGAAGCACAATGCACTCCCAGACTTGCCGTCTCATCGATGTCGTCAACCGCCTGATGACGTCATCAGAATCCCTCGGCACTCGTCCCTCATTTGAGCGTCTAGCTGTTGATGGTTCTGTGCACAGCCCATTATCCTGGACGACCGAGTGTTGTCTGTTGCTGTACCCTAAGGGTAGAGCGTCCAACCGGAGAGTGGAAGGTCGGGGGTTCGATCCCCGGCCACATGATACCAAAATACGTTAAGATGGTACTTGTTGATACCCTGCCTGGCGCTCGGCATTAAGGAGCTAAAACAATGACTGGTCGGCTCGAAGTCTGTATGGGGGCACGGGTGGCCCAGTCGTCTAATGCGCCGCGATTCGCTGTGCAGAGTTGCGTCCCTTGGGCACGCCAGAAATCTATGATTGTGGGTTCGAATCCCGGTTCGCCCCGATTATGTTTCTAGGTTTGTCAGCACCATACCCGTGCTCGTGGGTTTCACCGAAGTGGTAAACGTCTGAGACCTGCATCACTTCGGGCTTTCCTCCCACATTAAGCTGACACGCCGTGATATAACTGGAATACAGTTAAAAGCGGCGTTAAACCAAACTCACTCACTCACTCACTCGAAGTCTGTATAGTGTCTGAGTGGAGTATTCATGTTAAAACTGCGGCATGGTATCTCAGTGGGCTAGAACTATAACATCGGGGTTAGTCCGGACTAGTACAAGCAGCCACACACACACGGGCGCTATATAAGTGCAACAACCTTGAACGCGATGTTAAACTCCAGTTCACCTCATCTCACCTGTTGCTGAAGGAATGGTTACCGTTTTTAGCCTGGTAACGTTTTGATAACGTTTTTAATTGTTTGGTCAAATCAAATTTTCAATTGTATACTTTCTTTTGCCAGGCAGTTTACAAACACAAGAAAACTTTGAAATCACTGTTGGTTGGTTAGTTTGTTGTTTAACGCCACACTCAGCATTATTCCAGCTATATGAAAGCTGTCTGTAAATAATCGAGTCTGGACCAGACAATCCAGTGATTAATATCATGAGCATCAATCCACGCATTTTTGATCGATGACATGCATCAACCAAGTCAGCGAGTCTGACCACCCGATCCCGTTAGTCGCCTTTTACGACAAGCATAG